TTCAAGTTTACATTTCTGTAAAAGTGGATGTTGATTGTATCTATAATTTTTTAAACAGCTGCATCCTCCCAAACATTGCCCAACTTGTAAGGTTATGTCCAGATTACAACGGGGAGCTTTTATTGCTAAGTAATAACCAACACCTAATCTTCCAATGTCTTATTTTTATTATTTGATTCATCATCGTTATAATAGGTTATCACTTGTGGCCAAGTATGGTTGCCTTCCAAGTTTAGAGTGTTGGTGGTGGGTCCACAAATGACCATAGGGACCTATTCGGTTCCGGCCCCACTTACCTCTCCGAACACATCTCCACCTATGAACCGGCGAGGACGTTAAGATCGTCCGGGGAGGCCCTGCTCTCGGTCCCGCCGGCATCACAAGGCGCGGTTGGCGGGGACGAGAGACAGGGCCTTCTCGGTGGTGGCCCCTCGGCTATGGAATGCCCTACCAGCGGACATCAGGCAGGCCCCTTCGTTGCTGGTGTTTCGGAGGAGGGTTAAGACGTGGCTCTTTGAGCAGGCGTTCGGATAGCTGTGCAATTGCAACTAAATCCAGGAAGACGGCATAACTGAACAAGGAACGGTAATGGAATGTGAGAACGGAATCTGATTTTATGTGAGGCGTTGATGTCTATATGTGTGTCGTTTGTGTATGTTTGTCTTTACATTGTTAGTGTGCACAATTTTTACTGTAAACCGCATTGAGTCGCCGGTCACGGCTGATAAATGCGGTATACAAATAGCGTAAATAAATAAATAAATAAATAAATTCTGCATCTGCATGGCCTTTCACAGTAAGGACATACATTTCCAGATGGAAAGTGGTTCCAACGAGGATTTGCTTAACGCGCCTTCTTCTTGGCATGTTTCTCCCTTTTCCCTTTATCCATGCCTCTTCAAAATCAGCAATGTTGGTAATAGCTGATCTCCAGTTAGAGCTCTCGAGGGGTAAGGGTTCCCAGTTCTCTTTTTCTAGACAGGGTAGTCTTTCTTACACAGACATCGCAGAGAATCGAGTGGGTTTTCTTCCAGATGTCTGTACAGAATTGTAAATGTAAGCTTGTTCCTGTCTGTAATGGTAAAAGGACTTGCATTGTTTCATAATGGCAGAACATTGCTGCTGCATTGGTGGGAATGATATAATATTTCTGCTTTAAAAAGACAGAAATGAGAAAACTTTTAGGGTAGAACTATTGGGAATTGTATCTAAGAATATTTTGAGGGCTGCAGGATTCAGAAAAGGGAATGTACAGAGGGATGTTCATCTGCCAGGTTAATGCAAAAAAATACATTTATATCATCACTCATTTATACATTATCAAACAGAATAAAATATAGAAATAGACACTCATACAAGAATATACAATAAGACCTCCATAAGTATGGAACCCACATCTATGGTTTATTTATTCACACCAGAGGAAAATGGTCTCTAGAAATTTCCTAGGTTCTTCAAGCATTTCTATGATATGCTTCCCCTAGAAATTGCCATAGAGTCGTGTTGGAGGGCCTAGCAAATTCCTAGGGAAGAATTGCACTTAATGTACTCAGGTTTTTTAGATCCTTTTATTTTTGTTGGCATCCCTTTGTTTGTATTTTAGAATTAACATGTATGGTCACAAAGCCATTCCATGCTGCCAGATTTAATTTCTGGAGTAGACCATTATAGACTGATAAGTTTGATGAACTCAAAGCTAAAACTGGTTAATGTCTTTTCCTTAATGCAAATCTTGGTGATATAGAAGGTATTATCTGGTTCAATTCATACCTTTCTGGATGAGTTCCGATTCTAGCTGATACACTTCTGGCTTGCCATTTTATTTATCAGTGACATATTCCCAGGACATTGCATGCATTACCTGACTTTGTTCTGAGCAAAATAGTTGTCAATCATCTATATGCCAGTGGGTTTTATGTTTGTTGGCACCCTTGGTTCCATAAGTGGTTTTTCTTTATCTGCAGAGTTTGAATCGCACTTATCATCCCTCCGCCTTATGTTAATCAGTGGCAAATATTTACACATCTGACCTTAGGTATGAGTGAGAGTGACACATCTAGTTTGTTTTCTTCTACATTTATTTAAGAATGTATTTACTATTCTACAGTATAGTTTTTGCAGAGCAGCTTTGCAATCCATAAAAACGAAATACAATCACTAAAAATCAAACACTATCAAAAGTAAGTACCAGCTAATCAGCAATTACAATCAGCAGAAAACAATTTTCATCACAGTTGTTTACAAGCCTAAGAATTTTCTTTAAAGGGATTTTCTAAGTGTCCAAAACAAAATAAAACAAAATAGGCACCAGGCTGATGGAGGGGGAGGATGTTCAGCACATGGAGTAGAACCTTTTCATTGACACTTGATTCACCTTGGATGCCAAATTCAGTTGAAGGAAGAATTCCTCAAATCTTAACATATTGGCAAGTAGATGTAGAAATTGTTTATTTTTCAAGTAAGCCAAATTATATAGAACTAGCCAAGAATATTTAAACTGAGGTGGGAAATTTGAGCTTTATAGCTGTCTAGATACAAGGTTCACATCCCTGTTGTTGCCCCTGATGAATGGTGTTGATAGGAGTTATAGACCAAAACATTTCCAGAGCCAAAGACTCCCCGCTTAACTTTAAAAAATCATAAATACATCACAAGTATCTTAAATACTTGTGATGTATTTATGGCATGGGAAATCTGCAATTATTATTTTTTCCCCAAATGTTTCAAGGGTGGGCACCATATTTGCGCCCAGTGGCTATAATTTCCTTTTTACGTGTCAAAACACTGGCAACTGAATGCTGAGAACAAGCACTGGTCCCTAAACCATTCCCTGAGTAGCACCATTCCATTTCACCCAGTGAGTTTTTGGTTTGGGCTCTCTAGAAGGTCATCTGCACAGTGGAATTAATTCAGTTTGACACTATTTTAGCTGTCATGACTAAATGCTATAGATTCCTGGGACTTGTAGCTTGGTGAAGTAACCAGCACTCTTTGACAGAGAAACCTAAAAAAACTAAAACCCCAGTGGTGGGTGGCCCCCTGAACTGGCATTAGTGCTTTTACCTCTCAATCAATCAACCAAGCAATCAGTCAAAGCTTTATTACAGCCCAAATACCCAAATAGCTCAGCAGTAAAAGGTATACCTCTCTATGGAATGATGTTTGACTTATCCATGGGTCACAATTCATGATTTTGCTACCAAAAACTACCCTTGTTGGCCTTATACATGAGGTAAAAAGTATACACAAGTAGACATGGTAAGTTATAAGGAGCTCATGGTAGGCCTTCCTCTCCTTCCATCGTTCGTTCTATTTCTTGGCATGCTCAGCTCCCATTATCATTATTATATTTATTTATACCCCGCTTTATCTCTCCTGAAGGAGACTCAAAGAGGTTGAACATAAAAGAATTAGCAAACAATTAAAATATACAAATATACAAACATTAAAAAAAGAATTATATATAAACAGTATTTTTAAAATGCACAGTTAAAATCCATTAAAACATATTCAAAATTTATCACTCCTTCTTCCCATGTTCTCCCTTCTCTTAGGATTTTGCCCTCCAGATTTTGGGGGAGGATACAGGAGAGATACCTCTGCAATCTCTCCAGAACATGCATCCACCTCTCTTGAGTTTGACAGTTGCCCTATATCAGCTCCATTTTGGTCAGTGCTTATCACCCTTGTTTGCTGTTGGTGTGTTATTACACACACTTCTTTATAGCTTCCATACATTTATGATACAACCTTCTATGGAGAAAAATAAGCTGAAATAAAGTTTTTTCTAAGAGTTGTAGCAAGTGACCTTTGCTTGCCCTAATAACACTATCATCACCTTTCAGAATATTGACAATCAGAGCCAAGCGCCTGAATTTTCTTCCAAGCAATTACTCTGTGTAGAATGGAGGGGCAGATGGCTGTTAATCTGCAAATCGTTGATGTTGGAGATCACTCTCTCTTTTTAGCCTCAATAGTGTGCAGAGTGTTAAGTTCACTGGTTTCAAGAGGATCAGGCACATTTAGTCTGCAAGTGTGTGAACATATGTTGTGAGCACCACCAGTATCCTTTAGTTTAGCTGTAAGGGGGTGAAATGGCAGATTGACTTCGATGGCATTTTGTTTAATGTGCCTCTGTGGATCGTGGGAATGATGTAATGAAAGAGAGGTGGTGTCTATTGTATTCTATTTGTCAGAAAGTCAGATATTTGATGAATGTGAATCCTAATGAGCTACCTACTCAGGTATTGCATACCCCAGCTTCTCATTCAGAGTATAATAATAGGTATAATGCTGAGAAATGGCTGTGTTGACAGATTCTAGTCAAGTTAGAATTGGAGTAGGTGGAACAAGTGGCACTCCAGACATTGTTGGACTGCATCTCCCACCAGCCCTAGTCAGCATAGCCAATTGCAAGAGAGCATAAAAGATTTATTCCAACAAATATGGAGAACTATGTGTTTCCAACCCCCATGGTAAATCAAATGGTGAGTTGTGGCAAAAAGCACATCTATAGACCTCTTGTAGTACTAGAACTTGAGAGTAAGAGTGGTTAATCAATGAAGCCAGTTATCTCATGCGATGGTGGGGTCTTCTTCTTTTGTCATTTTGAATAAAAGCTGGACAGTTACCTGCTGCAATAGCAGTCCAGGACCATGAAGCCCCTTCCAACTCTGAAAACAAAATGTTGTATTAGAAGACTTGAGTGGATCTTGGGTCCAAAATTGACCATAATGGGGCCCCAGTACCTTTGGAATTTTTCCAGTTTTTTATGTGCTTTCCCTCAGTCCTACAATTAAAGTGTTCCTCCTAAACCTTAGTTGAAAATGTGTTGCCATTTTTAATGCCAGTCTTTTGCTTTTAAGCCTTCTGGTAACACTGAAATGGAACTCAATTATGCTGAAAGGGGACTTTTGCCCTTGGACTAGATGAACCTTTAACCTGATCCAGATTGGTTCTGCTTATTTTCTGAGTCTGTATTTTGACTTTTCTTCACCCAGGATACATTGAAGAGGCCTGCATCATTCCTTGCCCCTCAGACTGCAAGCTGAGTGAATGGTCCAACTGGTCTCGCTGCAGCAAGTCATGTGGCAGTGGTGTTAAAGTCAGATCTAAATGGCTACGGGAGAAACCCTACAATGGTGGAAGGCCCTGCCCAAAGCTGGATCATGTCAATCAGGTATTTTCTTATTCCATCATCAGCATTCCTCTTTTTTCAGAACTACATGAATAAGAAGAACTTAGCTTTTCTTTCTAAATAAGTTATGCAAGACACAAGTATCAAAATACATAAAGACCCAGTAAAGGGGGGAAATTACCAACTTTTATCTTTTTGTGTTTGTTCAGGTACTGACTTGAATGTCTCTTTAACCTATTACATTCTTAACATGTGGAAACTTTGTTGGTTATGTTACAACTGTCACCTTTAATTGTTCCTATTTATTTATTTATTAACTTTGTTTAAGCTTAACTACAACATTAGCCCTTGCCAACTGACCAACACATATTAATAAAAAGCTTAAAATGATCGACATCATTTTAAAAGAGGGAATCCTCCTTCATTGTTAGATAGGAGGGGTATGTCTTCCACATATATTAGAAATGTTACATTTTGGAGTATTTTTTTTTTAAGGAATTCAACTAGAAATTATTTCTCTTTGAATTAGGATTGGAACTGGGGAAAAGTACTTCATGGTCTAGAACATTTTTAATCAATGGTGACTGTAGGTTTTTGGAAGTTGTCATCCAAAAAAGATACTTTTCCAAGTTGTGATGTGACATAGACGTGTACCATCTGACAAGGCTTTTATCCCTTTACTATTGTTTTAATCATATGCAGATTTAATTGATTAATGAATTAAACTTCATCAATCAAGCTAAGGTTTCACGTGAGTGGTAGTCATGGTTCAGGGCAATTCAGTTTTCATACATTTGGGCAGAACTAAACAATGGAGATGAGGGAGGGTTGTCATCCCCCTCCCCTCCATTGAAGTCAATGTTAGAAGCAGACTAAAATTGGTCACAGGAGACTAGAGCGCTGTGATGAACCCCCAGCAGATGTTAAATAAGATCTGAGTTTGATTCAACCTTAGTTATGCTGACAACAGACTCACTGAAATTGACCAGGCTTATATTAATTATGGCTAACTTATGCCATGGAAAGTATTATCTATTCTGGAACATTACATGGCTGGATCCAAACACTAGTTTTTCCTTGCTCAGACTATTAAACCATAGAAGAAAAGCAGTATCGTCTGTCTTTGGCTGAATTTATTTCTGTCTTGAATTTAGATTTAATCTGCTCCCTTCCCCAGTGAGGGAAACAGCAAGTCTTCATTTCCATAAATTCCCTTTATTATGGGAAGGAAGGGGTATAAAGGGAGAAACCATGTTGGCCATTCCTGAATAAGATGTATATTCACTAAATGCCATCATGTTGACATTTTGCAGGCACAGAAGGAAATGGCCTGCTGATTTGATTTTCCACTTAAGAGGATGTAATTAGTTCTAGTTTAGAACATAATAAGTGTTAAACTAAAGCTAATAAACCAAATTTGTAATCCAATTTAACACCAAATACAAGTGAGCATGAAGCCTAGGTTTAGTAGGAGAAGGTATTTGCACATGGGAGGAAAATATTTTCATAGATGTCTTCAACTTTCTAGATAATACACAGTTCTTAAAAAAAAAAACCACCTCCCCTTCTTTAGATAATAATAGATGGATCAAGCTAGCTCTGTTCCAAAGATTTATTCCCACAGCAATGCTGCCCTCCCATGGTAGCTAGTATACCTTTCATTGAATTTCTAGATTTACTTTTTTCATTAGAAAGGTTCTTAGATACAATCAGTTCTGTTTGTCACTGAGTAATGATTGCAAGAATCTTCCTTTAATATATACTTCTTCCTCCTAGATTTATGCTTATTTACTTTTAGTGACACATTTAGTACATTTTACTGGAATAAAAAATAATTGTTGGATATGGATATAAATGGAGAGAAGATGTTGCTCAGGTCACGTTGTAGGATGGAAAAGTGGCTATTTCTTTGCAAAAACAAATTGGCAGATGTGAATGGTGCAAGGCGTAGCTTCAGATTCACCAGTGAGATAAAGAAAAGGGTTCCAATGAGGAGGGGTGGAACTGGGGCAGAATGACAAACAGTGCAAAGCATTTTGTTTATAACAATCACTGAAATGTTTAAATCATTATTGTGAGCTACAGATTTCTGTGTGAAATAAAAAACAAGACAAGCATACATGTACACAGAGTTTTGCTAACTCTGTGCACAAGACATGCACAGAGTTAGCAAAAAATAGAGTACAAAACTGGCACAATTGATTTGATCCAGGATCTGGATTCTGCTACTAAGGGCACATCTACATGGGCAAGAAACCCCGAGGCTAGCTATGGGAGCAACTGAACTTTCTGCCTCCATTCTGCCATGATGGCAAGACACAGTCTGGATTGTCAAACCAGTTTGGCCAAGATGGACTTCTATCATTAGCTTGGTCGTCTTGTCACTGTGGTTGGAGCTCCAAAGAGGTGATATTTGCTGAGGTTCACATAGGTGCCCACATGATCCAGAGAGTGGAAGGATGGGGGGAGGAAAGAGGGTGATTTTTATCATCTGTCTGAGCTATGCATCATTTCCCCAACTATGCCTAACATAGGTCAAAACCATATTAAGCAACCCAGTCCCACATTGGGGGCAAGAATGGCTCATGTGTTATGTGGATGCCATAAGGCTGATTCTTTCCTGCCCCAGATTATGCCGCCTGTGTAGATATTCCCCAGAAGAGTCCCTTTCAACCATTCATCTTGATTACATCACATTCAAGAAAGGGAGGGATCCCTTGACTTTCTGTGTAGGCCCTTCAGCCTGGTGAGACTGGACTATTAGAACATGCAAAGAAATTAGATAGTGCAGTAACAATTAAAAAAAAAACAAAAGTAATGCAGTAGTATCTACAAACTACATGAAAATGTGCTCTGAGTTTAAAACCTAGAGGCTGCTGCTTTTCATATTAAATACATTATATTCTGAATCCGTGCATGTAGAAATGCCACACACACAGCCTGCATCAATGTCCTGTGGCTGTGTAATTAGTCTGCACCTTATCTTCATCTAAAAGGAAATGAAGAAACGGAATATCAGTCTGTGTCTGCATTAAAAGTGGTACACAGAAAACACTTAGAAAATTCTTTCAGACATAGATGCAAGGATTAGAAAATGAAGCCGACTTGAAGATCAGTTTTAATTACCATTTATATTAATGGTGTTTAGCTGATCATGTTTTTTTTTCCTTGCTTGAACAAAAGAATGTTTTGTATCTAGTTTAAAAAAAACCCTGCATGTCCCAGGCAACAAGGACAGAGTCAGAGAGGTAGAGGAAAAGGAATATCTGATGGGTAGAGTGAAATAAGAATTGGCATTAACAAATCGGAGCTTTTTTTTTTTGATAATGAAAACTTGAAAGCACAAAAACATCCAGAAAGTACGTGAAATAAGTTCAGTGAAGCATAATTTTGCAAGTATAAGTCTTCTAATCTAGAAGAATGTAGAAAAGGCATAGATAGATATTGCAACCAACACCAATAGAATCTCCTTTCCTTTCTAGTTACAGAAATAGAAAATAAACAAACAGTACTTGGTAGTATATAGCATGTATTGAAATCTACTATTTTACAAAGAAATTGTTACTTACTTAATAAAATACAGAGGATAAATAATACCTCAAGTAAATTAAGAACTATCTTTAACAGAACTAGAAAACTATATAAAAAATGAAAACGTTCATAGGCAAATCAAACACATTTATTTTCAACTCCCATATCTTTATTTACTCTCAAAGAATGGATTAAATCTGCACTAGACCACTAAACCATTACACCTGCTTAGTTAATAATAAATATATGAATTACTTTGCATTAAGTACTTCACATATATTTTTCTAGGCCTCTGAAAAAAGAAAACTATTTCCTGCATTAGAGTTATATAATCCCAAAGAGAAATGTAGTTCAATCCCATTCTGGCAATTCTGCAAGAAATGTAGGTGGAGAAACTGAAACTATTTCCCAATAGTTGCTCTTTATTTGATTCTACCCCCGTCACCCAAAGCATCTCTTAAAGCACCTGTCTTTTAAGTTTTGTCTGTACTACAAAACACAAAGTAGGTGAAAGAAAGAGAAAAAATCCTTACACGCTGCTGATATTAAAAGAAATCTACAATCAAAGGAAGTTCTTTGTATAGAGGTGTCTGTATCTAGGTGTCATGCTCATTCTGTAGACACATGTAAAGACATTCTTCTTGTAGTATTGGCTTAGAATGTGCCATTGACCTAAGGAACATACTAAGGAGAAAAAAGGCTAGTATCTATCTTAAATGGATAGAAGGGTTCTGTCCTTATTTCAGGGACCCTTCTTCCACTTCATCAGAGCTCAGCCCATTCAGTGGAGTCTCTGAATGCCCTGTATAGGGCTGAGCAAGGCTTCCTTTGGAAGAGGACCATGGGAATCAATTTCCTTTAGCCCAGTTTGGATCCAACTTGCCAATATTTTCAATGTTATGCATGGAATATTCATAGTCTAAAGAGGTGGGGAAAATATCATCGAAGATGAGGCATATAGTCTTTCTCCTTTGATATTGTTTTCATGAAGTGCAGAAAGAGGGTTCAATAAGCAGTTTGATTCTTTCTTACTATTTTGAACTAGGTGAAAACATAACCTACCATTAGGACATTTTAAACAATTCTATCAAGAAATTGGAAAGAATCATTTAATGATGGACTACAAACAAGCATGGTCAAAGTCCATTATAGATATGTAGGAAGCTTTTACCATGACACTTATAGAAAGGGTCAAGAACCTGTAGTCATCAAGATATTGTATTCCCAACTCATCTTAGCTTCTGGCATCCTAGCAAATGGTCATGGATGAATTGGAATCCAGTAACATCTGGGGGGCTACCATTTCTTCACCCATTTTAAAAGTGTCTTCCAGCTGTGTAGTGGACCAAATGAGGAAATGAAAGGATCATCTTGTGTTTTGCAAAGATGATGGCTTCTTAGAAGGATCAGTGTAATGCTTTGAAGCAGCATGCCTGTTTTTGAATATCAGCCTTGCTTCCTAACTATTATTTTTATTTACCTTTGCTTGTGCTCTCGCGTTCATGGCCAACACCTGCCTCAGGCTCAGGTAAGAGTCAATGAAACAGATACCCAGCATCCCAGCATGCTTCCAGATACAAGTCTCTAATGTGTGCATTGTTTGCCTTTGCTTGTAACCTTTCTTTGTAACTGTATGTGTGTTAACATCTAATGCTTTTGTGTATTCAACAATAATGGTTTTCACTGTGTCTGCAATGGGAGATGGGAGGCAACAGGGATAAAAATGCAAATGTTTGGCAAACTAGAGTGTGGTAGAATCATAGATTTGGAAGAGTTCACAAGTGTTGTGGTTGTGTGCCTTTTCATGATCCACAGTAAATTTACAGACGATTTCTGGGTTGGTGCAGGATTTTGAAAACCCTTTATGGCCCCTTTCTAAGCAGGCTAACTCAGGTCTCCCAAAAAGGAAAGAGTAGGTGAAGGACCAGGATAGCAAGAGAGAAGGAGCAGATGATTAGAAAAATAAAAACAAGAGTAGATGAGCAGAAGTAAGTAAGTAAATGTGATGCTCACAACACCTACTCATCTGTTTTAGTGGAGTTCAGCACAGGGTGAAGTGCAGTCGCGGGAAAGAAGTTATGGTGGGATCTCTGAGGAAGTTATGACTTAGCTGCTGCTGAGGAGATGAGATCTCTGGCCAACAATGATATCCCTCCTTGAGTTTCACTGTTATACCATTTTCCTTATCCAATACATACATGTCTTTTGGTGTGAAAGTAAGCAATCATGGCATGAATACATAGTATATACCTTTTTCACCTAGTCAGTAGATAGGATTGGGGAGTGACAAGCATAATGGGGTTCATCTTTATTATTTATCCAGAAAATCTGAAGTCCTCTGCATAGACCTTTGGGGCATAGCCCTTTTTATCTTATGGGGACTTACTTCTGAATATACACATATAGGATTTAACTGCAAGGTGGCTTCTCTGTTATCATCATCATCATCATCATCATTACAATGTTCATTTATATCCCACTTTTTCTCTTCACAAGGAGACTCAAAGTAGCAAATAAAGAAAGGAAAACACAAGATATTCACATTTTATTGTTATTATAAAACAAGAGTGAGGAACATGAAGCTTTCCAGATGTTGGACTGCAACTCCAATTACAACTCATCATTGACTCAAGCTGAATAGAGCTGTAGTTTAACACCCTCTGAAGGGGCATGTGATCTCATTGGTGGTTTTCAATCCAAGAGGAGATAGTTGCCTCACATGTTATTTTCAAACCATGGGCTGCACTTGCATATTCATCTCTGCTGCTTACTGGAGACAAACAATTGAGTTAATTTTAGGACAAAAATTGGAAGGATAGCTGCCAACAAATCCCTACCAATCATAGATTTGTGCAGCAGCTTTTCAGCAATCAGAAGATCATATTCTAACAGGGGCGAAGTTGTGCACTTGGAATGAGACTTGAACAAAAGTAGGCTTTACAGAATTGCTTCTTAAATTTACACGCCCACATACTCCCACTTACCAATGCTGATTGAAAACACATGACTTCTAACTTTCACAACAAATGACTTTTCTTCTTATGCTTTGATTGCAAGCACTTAAGTGTTTTCTATTAAATAATAAAGGAAGCAGTGTTGTTGCTGGTTCCATATGTTTAGTATGCATGAAATGAGATCATTTGTGTGTGTGCATTTTACAGGTATATGAGGTGGTCCCATGCCACAGTGACTGCAGTCAGTACATAGGGGTTCCTGAACCCTGGAGTGTGTGCAAAGTGACTAATGTGGACTCAAAGGAGAATTGTGGCGAAGGTGTAGAAACCAGAAAAGTGAGGTGAGCTAAAACTTGTTAATGCAATAATTTGAAGCAGGTGAGAGAGGGAGTAAATGTGCAGAACCTCCATTCTTAAATTAGAGTAGTACTGTTTGGAATATTTGGCCCAGCTGATCTTGATTTAGGAGTAGTTTTAGAGGCCTGAAATCTTTATTACATTTCCATTGTATATTGGCTGAATCCAGATGTGGGGACAGTATACGTAGAGTAGTCCAGTTGAAATCAAGGGAACTTGACTTGGTCAAATATTGATAATCTCTATGAGTCTACCATTTTACTGTGTCACTGCTTATACTGGGATCTAAGGACCCATGGATTTTGGTGTCCTTTAGGGGTCCAGAAATAAAATCCCAAAGGATACCAAGGGCCCATTGTGCACCTATTATAATGGTGGAAGGAGAAGCTGCTATTTCCTGCCATCATGATGCTACCATTTATTTTTAAGAATATGGAAAGTGAATAAGAAACTTAATGTATTTCATCCAAGCCCCAATCCATGGAGCTATCTTCAGTTGAAAGGACAGTGCCAGGGATCTGAGTTACACAAGAGAGTGGAAATGAGGAGACATTAAGTGAAAAAGTTGTCCTGCTAAAGTGATCAGGATATTTTCAGTTTAGAATATGTGAGTTGAAGACTGGTCTACAGATACATATAGGATTGGAGATTGGCAAAGTGCCTTTTTGGACTTGAACATCCTGAATCCCCTAATATGTAAGGAATATGTACTTCCATGTCAGTCTTGTGAATAGCATTTTAAAAATATAGACTGCATTCTTTTTAGTGTACACTTTGATTTTTCCAGATGTATGCAAAACACTATGGATGGTCCTTCAGACATTGTTGAAGACTATCTTTGTGACCAAGAAGAGATGCCTATCGGTGCTAGAAAATGCACATTGCCTTGTCCAGAGGATTGCGTAATGTCAGAATGGGGCCAGTGGTCTAAGTGCTCATTGGTAAGGCAGGGTTATAAAGAAAACCCTATACTGATGGAACTGAAGGATGTCAGAGTGTTCCTGACCTAAAAGAAAGATTAAGAATGAACACAAAATATGTGTTTTGCCATGGTTTCCTTAATAAAGGACATTCCATGGTTGTGGGAAGAGGGAAAGAAATGAATGAGCTTGGAGAGCAAAAATACTTTGCTGTACCTATAAAATAACAAGGTTAAAAGGAACTTCAAAATTCACCTTCTTGATGTTTCCCAACACTTTAGAAATCTCCTTTTTGTTTAGTTTTTGCTGAGTGCTCATCTATTCATTCCATCGCCATTAAATCCAGACATAGCTATTGAAATTAACTGGACTTAAATTAATCAACGCTCATGTTTAGTGGCTTCCCTATGAGTATGGCTAAATTCGATCCAGCCTGTTTATCCATTTTCCATTTAAATATTCAATAAATATATTTCTTTAAAATACCTTTTAAAATGTGTTGTGTAATTATCATGTTTGCTCTGTACCTATTTTTCCTTCATAATAACCCACTGAGGGAAGTTAGTCTTCAGCTAAAGTTAGAAGTCTGAGATTGCTGAAAGTGTGTGCCTTTTGAGTGGAGATTTTGACCCCAGTCACCCTTATTTTATTCCAGTATTTTAGTCACTGTACTACATAGGTCTAAGCATAATCCATATTATATATCAAAATCAAATAATGTGTGGTTTCCTTTTCCAGCCATGTAATGGAAGCAATGTGAGGGAACGGAGAGCAGAAGTTATGAGGCAAGCTCAAGAAGGAAAGGCCTGCCCTCCAGCTGTGGAGACAGAACCCTGCAGCCTGAACAAAAACTGTTACCACTATGAATACAATGTGACAGGTAGTCATGTTACTTAAGAACAACTAAGCTGTAAGAGGTTTGTTCAATGGAATGGATCATGGTTCCAGCCAATCAACTATTCCCTATTTTTGGCTGCTTTATCGTTTCCCCTTTCGCCTTCCCAACATTCAGCTAGCACTAAGCATGTTCACTCATCATTGGGGGAAAATGATTGCTCAATTTTGGGAAAAAATTTGCAAACTTGGTGGTTCTCCCAAGCTTGCCATTATCCCCCTTTGCAAGCATGGTGCAATTTTGGCTGTCAACTTGAGGCAACCTTATGTTAGACCACAACACCCATAAACTGTAAATAGCCTGTAAGAATTGTCATCTAACATATCTGGGAGTACACTAGATGGTTTAGCTGTAGTGCACTCTTTTTTCATTCCATTGTAATTTGTATGTGTTAGTATAGGACTATCACTAAGGCTCCAGTCCTTTTTTTATACTTAGCATGCAGGAAATCCTACTGAACCAGTAAACATATAGATGATTATTCTTGTGATCTACAATCCTGTGTACACCTCAGTTAAGAGATGGCTTGGATGAAAAGTCCGTCAGTCCCTGAAACTGAGAGAGTTGGGATTTGAGTGCTTGTTACAGTCATGCTATTGTGTGCTTTCAAGTTATTTCTGACTAAAATAAACCAATCACGGTGTTTTCTTGGCAAGATTTGTTCAGCAGGGATTTGCTTTTGCCTTCATCTGAAGCTGAGAGAGTCTCATTTGTTCAAGGTTACCCAGTGGTTTCCATGGCTGAGTAGGGATTTGAACTCTGTTCTCCAGAACCTTCATACAACACTTATGCCATTACACAATTATTATTGTTGTTTTTATTGTTGTTATTATTTATATCCCACTTTTTCCTCTCTTGAGAGAGTCTCAAAGTAGCTAGTGACTCAATCCTGGCATTCTATAGTTTTTACCTATATCCATTTATTAGTCCCAATTAGGCTAGATTTATTAGAGCACTTATTTGTCAATTCACCAAGTTCCCATTGAGTCAATGGGTCTTCTGTCATAGGAATTAGCATTTGGATTTAGACTATTTGTTGTTGGTAATGGTTTCCCAGTAGACCGATACGAGAAGATGAATGTAATTCATCCTTTTTTTATTAAAATGGAATAAAAGATTAATTAGGGAGCATTAAATTTTCATGTATCATGAGTCTAGTGAACAAAAGCCTCTCTCACTAGCTTCCGGTTCTATTTTGTTTCCTTTCCTATTAGACTGGAGTACGTGCCAGCTCAGTGAGAAAGCTGTCTGTGGTAATGGGATCAAAACAAGAATGCTTGATTGTGTTCGCAGTGATGGCAAGTCAGTTGACCTGAAGTACTGTGAAGAGGTAGGTGGATGCTTTTTCTTTTTCTTGCTTTGTGAAAAAAAATCCATCCTCCTTAACCACTTTTGTTCAAACCCAGTCGATTGCCACTGTGCAGCGTCACGAGTTCTGTGACAGATGTTTCCCACTGCTATTCAAGGACTGTTAAGTACCCCATAAATGAGCCTGTGCAACAATCAGTGTTTTTTGTCATTTAATTTCCTCCGTTTGCTTAAGTGTGTGGCCACAAAGGTATGCTAATTTCTCTTTTATCTGCTGAAAGTAATGGTTTGGGAACAATAAGCAATCAAGGTGAATAAGTATAATAAATCTTAATCAGAATGTTAATCATCATTCTAATTGGAAGTGATTCCTTTATAAGGCATTGGGCATCTGCCAGCATCTTTTGATTCAGTGTGTCCTTCTCATTTTCCTGGCACATTGGGTTCATACCAGTTTTTGATGCTCAGAGCAAAGTAAGACACTTCTATAATAATACTGTTGAGGGAAAAATTGTAGGATTGACAAAGAAGTAGAGCTTCTTACATGTGTTTGAAAAAAATGACTCATTTAACAGATGATTTTACTTCTATTAATTTCATATTGTATTGAAGGCATAATTTTCTGCCTTTTAGTGCATCTCAGCATAGTTGGTGGTGTAATTTTTGTACAGCTGTTGTTTCAACAGTCCACGAGTTTGTTAGCAGACCACAAAAGACTCAACCATCTCAGGCATCTTAGGGCATTTTATAATGGACAGAAACTGCTATTGTTTCTGGATCACCAAGAGGAAGGAAGAAGGCAAATAGAAGCCAAAAGGGAACATCACGCTGTCAAATGAAGAATATAGAGGTAGCAGTATGCAACATAAAACAAAATTAAAAATGTGATGATACTTTTGTTAGGTCATCCAGAAGGCACTCAATTCATTATGCTAACTTTTGAAGTCCACTTCCTTCTTCATAAGGCAAAGATGGTGAAAAAACCATGGTGAGAAGGCTAAAACTAGCTTTCTTAGTCTGCCATCCAACATCTTCTCAATATAGAGGAAATAACTCCATGCAGAGATATGCTACTCCAACAATACACAACTCCCATGCAGACACATTAACAACATATGTCAATCTCAGGTACTGTTGAACAATGCTCAACTGCAACACTTTGCACAAAATGCACTGCAGAGTAGTCATGGGCCCCGTAACCATTTCAGCCATTTAATTTGTGTTTTATACTGTTTGTTTCATTCAGATGGCATGAAGCAGTACACACCCCTCTGGTACAGAAATATCAGTGAAATGAAAGGGAAGCGGGAATGGTAATTTTGGTCACCTGATTTTCGGTGCTCGGTGCAGGTCCTGGCAGGCACTGGCGCTTTGGGCCTTTCAAGCCACACATGCACTCTCTTTCCAAGAAGAAAGTGTGTGTGACTTGCAAACCCAAAGTGCCCGCACCTGGCAGGGTCTGCAGCCAAACACCAAATAAGAAGCACTTATCACTCAGCTGCAGGTCCTGGCAGGTGTGGGCGCTTTGGGCCTGCAAGCCTCACACAAACTCTCCCTGGAAAGAGAGAGTGTGTGCAGTGTGCAGGCCAGAAAGCACTCAGTTTCTAAAACTGAGGAGTAAAGGGAACGTGGGAAGCCCGCCCATTGCTGTCAATGGGATGAAAATAATTTGTTTTTTAAGACCTGGGATGAAAAAGCTCATTTGGAAAGATGCCTGTTTTTAGGAGAGGCACTTGAAAATGAAAATGAATAAAATAAACAACTGATAGTGATTCTATACAAATGCACAAGACTACTACAAATCGTGACTGCAACATGCAGTATTGCTGTATGTGCAACTCTACTTCCAGCAGAAAATTTCCATTGGGCCATGGCACATAATCTGCCCCACATTTGTGACACAACTTACCCATGTGTATGTCACCAACAAGATTCCACCCTTATAGTCACAGTCTGTTAATTGCTTCAGACATAATAGAGGAAGACAGTAAGTTCAGATTCTTCCTTTCCCCTAAAAGAAAAACCTTTGGGGTGAATGGGAACAAAAGCAGTACTACAATCTGCAGTATACAGAATGTTTCTGATTTTTTTTGTTTGAAGCCGCTGTTCTACAGCACTCATGCTGTCATAGACAGCGTATACACACTAGGATGAGCATCTTTGATATCGCAGTTCTCTCAATTTGTGCAATTGTGCTGATGCAACAGTCTGTGGTGCTGTGATTCCGCATACCCTCATAACCCCTCTTTCCCTCACTTCACAATTTCAATTTTTTTAGAACAATTTCACAGTTTCAGCAATGAGTAACAGAAAGGAGCCAATGTAACTGTAAGTATTAACACAGAACTGACATTTCAGGAATAGTGAAGAGAAAGGGGGAGAAGAAGAGAATCCCACCCCCTGATGTCACTTTATTGCTGACATGCTGGCACAGAAGTGCAGGATTGTGAGCTATTGGCAAGTTTCCCCATCAATAGTGAGGATAGGTTAATCAAAGGAAGGAGACAGGCCAACAGCAATGTGCAATCCTAAGAGGATACACTGACCCTTGTGCTTATGTTAAAGGAAATCCTTTACTGTGACATTTGCAATTGGGCCTGGCTAGAACCACTTCAGCTTGCTTTGTACTGATAGAAATCCACTGACTCTATCAGAGGTTTTGCAGGGGAAGGGGTTAGTGGGCGAAAGTAACAGATAATTATTTCCTTCTTTATGAATGAAGCAGTCACTGATTAGTTTTCCCTTTACTTACCGGGTCTATTTACATTTTAAAGTAGCATGCAGGAAGCAACTTTTCTTTGGATGTTTGCCATTGATTCCAATTGAAGTTAATTGTGACTGTATGTGTGCATGTGTACACATGTTTAGTTATGGCTCCCAATGAAACTTGGCAATAGCGTTGCACTGGTTTTTATTGCTTGCTTAATGAGACATGATATCAAGTGTGTCTCTTGACATGGGCATTTGTGAAGCATGGATACCTTTGTTGAAACAGTATGCAATGGTAGATTTAATTAAATGGAAAGGAATAGGCCATTACCATCCATAAAACCAAATAGTTTTTATGCCACCTGCTACATCAAGTGGGACGGAGACTTTCTGCCTTTCCAAAACTGTCATGCATGATCTATGTTTTAACATTTGGCTCTCTCTTCCACTTTGGCTCTATTTTATTATGGCCTGCTTACATTGTAAGCCAGGGATATACAACTGAGTCTTCAGAACAGAGTGCAAAGTAAATGGTGCTGCCAAATTCTTCAATAACCATTACATACTGTGAATTTACAAATAGTGTGTTTATCTGTACATATAGGAATCTATCTTCTTTAAGCCCTGTGCTAATTTCTGCCCAGCAGCCTTCCTCTTTTACAGGAATTGGGAAAAATATTATTTCAGTCTTTAATAACTTCCTCCTATCATCATGTCGAATCCTTGTCTAAGCTAGCTAGGGCTGGTGCAAATTGTAGTTCAACAATATCAGGAGGACCATAGCTCTGCCACACTGAAATATCACAGTGCCCTTTTGTCAGATGGATAGGTAGAAAATCATTGGATTCAAAATTGCCACTTTATTTCAGGGTTGTGCTATCTCAAAGCATGACACACAGGAGAGCATGGTCAAATGTAAGACATAACAACCCTATAGGCAAGTGTTCAGAATACTTGGTGAAGCTGCTTTGATCATACAAGTCCATGACAAATGCAACTGAAAGCATCTTTGAACAGAAAGATCATACTGCTTGTCTAAAAGGCTGCACAAAAAGGCTAGGTGTATATCAAAGAGTTTCATAGTTGGATTCCTGCTGAGAAAGCCCCCTCCCCTCTCTTATTCATAACAACTTGACAGATCTTGAAGGGGAGTACTAAAAAAAGAAACCTTGGCATAGATCTTATTAGCGCAGGATTATTTAGGTGGCGATAACTCTTCAAATAGCTTGGTATTTTTTATAAGATGCTGATAATGATGGTAAGGAGTGATATATAAACATCATGTAAAACCTTCTCATAGACCCTAATCCAGAATTCAACATCTGTAAAAGAAAGTGGAAGCAGTGGCATAACTATGTGGGTGTGAGTGGTGCGAACTGCAACAGGTGAAACCATTTATTTTCATGCTTCTGGAACATGGCCATATAGCCTGGAAGGCTCACAGCAATCCAATTTATTTTATTATTTACTATATTTGTACCACGCCCTTCTCACCCTGAAGGGGACTCAAGGCAGCTTTATATATAGGAAAGAATTCAATGCCATAAAAGCAGCAAACAATTAAAACAGACATTTAAATTAAAACTACAAATTAAAAATGTAAAACATAACATCAACTGTTTAAAACCATGCCATCCACAATCGTAATCTGATCCATTCCAGTAATCATTGCACATTTTTCCTATTCATTTATTGCACTACAACTATTATCCGAAGGCTTGGTCCCCAAGCCACATTTTGCCTTTCTTTCTAAAGGCCAGGAGGGAGGGAGCTGACCTAATATGACTGAGGAGGGAGTTCCATAGCTGAGGGGCCACCACTGAGAAGGCCCTACTCTCTTGTTCCCACCAACTGCCCTTGTGAGGGAGATGGCACCAAGAGCAGGGCCTCCCCCAATGATCTTAACCTGGTACAACTGAACATAGGAATTGGTATAAAGGATTATGATTGCGGATTCTGATTTTGATTTGTTTGCTGAGGCGCACGCCTAGGTTAATGATTGCTTGTTTTGATATGTTTTGTATAATGTGTTTTTAACTGCTTTTTGATGTTGTGTGTCAACCTTTACTATGTAAACCGCCTTGAGTCGCCTTTTTTGGCTGAGAAAGGCGGTATAGAAGTAAAGCAAATAAATAAATAAATAAATAAATAAAACCTCCAAGGTGGTTCATATTTGAAGATTTGAAACTTCATTCCATTACAATGAAGTTTCAAATCATGTGGTTTTGTTTGCATGCACTACAAGCACATACTGTTGTTCTCATTGCTACTTTTTAAAAAATAGTGACTGATTTTGTCAGTTTTTCTGATATTTTGGCATATATGGAAGAAAGTTCGTGGGGGTGACACCATGAGTCACCTCATCTGGTGACACCAGCCCTAGTGACGCAACTGAACAAAGAGTGATGATGCATTATAAGTATGGTGTGGAAATGGTTGAAAATGGTAGAAAAGACAAATAATTTGTATTGAGGAGTCAAATGGAAAAGCAGAATAATAAATGAAGCAATAGGTTATTTTTATATATTTCTTTATATATGAAAGTGTGGTCTCCTGAGAAGTCTTAACATCCTAGCACCCCTGTTGGCAACAAAGAGGGGCATAGGAAGGAAGTGGATTAGAAAAACCAACAACAGACTGATCTGGGAACTGCATCCTATAAAACCTATTTATAGGATTAGTAGGAGAGTGACATTGCTAAACATTGCAAGTCTTCTCACTAAAGGGGGATGAAACTGAACTCTAAATGTTCATAAGATCAAAAGGGTGTCATTGTACTCAAAACCTGAAAACCTATGATCACCAGATAGAATCATGTACATCTACCTGACCTGCATGCCAATTTTTTTCATATTGCATGTGATACAAATTGAGTCTCTCTTATCTGAAATAGGTGGGGCTAGAGGTGTTTTGAATGTTGGACTTTTTGGATTTTGGAATACTTCTAACTTCACAACCTCTGAGGATGCCTGCCATAGATGTGGGCGAAACATGGCCACACAGCCCAGAAAACTCACAGCAACACAATACAGTTTCACATATGTACCCATGCTTACTGTGCATGACTGAAAATGGCTGAAATACAATTCTTCCAAAACATGGTGCCCACCTAGCCTATTAATTAAACTCTATGTATTCATTTATTTTTTCTAATGTTTAATTTTTTTATTCGGTGTATTAAAATGCCTCTTGTGGTTTGTCCTTGGATGGGAATCTACCAACAAATATAGGTTATTGTGGGCTATATTTCAGAGCAAGGAACCTTCTTGCCTAAGAAAACCCCATAAATCTACAGGCAACTCTAGGGCACATACATACATATATAGGCAAGCACACAGTAAAATGTCTGCTTTCGTATTGAATAGAGATGTATATATGCAGTGTTTGTTTTTGGAATGTTATAAAGAGAGAGAGGGAAAGAAGAAAAATAGTTTTTAAGGTGAAGTTGTATTTTAAAAATATACTGTTTGGTCTTATGGTTGTAATGTTTTGATGCTCTTGAAAGCATCAAGAGCATCATAGTATGAATTCTTATGGGAATACATTTTTAATATTAACATTTTAATCTGCACTGAAGGATGTCAAGGAGAAATAACCAGTTTATATTATGATACAACAGCATTGCTTGTCTAACAATCCTTCCACATCTAAGTAGTGTTTTCTTGAAAGAAAAAAATATGCAGAAATATCATTTTCAAAGCCTCTACGAGCAACCGCCCAGTTTTTATCTCCAGAAGAACAGACTTTATTATGACTAATGTCATTCTTCATTAAGTAGTGGAACTATCCCCTATTAAAATTCAGTTTATTAGTTTCTCTCTCTCTCTCTCTCTCTCTCTCTATATATATATATATATATATACACACACACACACACACACACACAAGAAAACACTAAGAGCATTTTGTTTTACTGTAATGTGATTTTTAAATCCTTTAATCTATTTGGACAGGACATTTTAGCCAATCCTTGGGAAGCCATATCACAAATTACAATACAAATTACAATGTTGACATGTTATAACACTTACCTAAACCCTGTTACTGAGTTTGATCTACTTGCAATTTACATATTTTGCAGAAACAAAAGACAGTAAGTAGGGCAAATATTGCTGCTAAGAACCCATCCCTTTTTGCTAAGGATGTGGTGCTGTCCCAGCCATTGTAATATATTGACACAAAGAGGGTTCCATTCCTAGAGTAATGCTGAAAAGAAGAGATTCAAGTTGTTAGCCTGATTGCATGATGGCAGAAATATTGGAAATTCTCATTTAGAACATGCAAAAGGTCCTCACAGTAATCATCTGTGTCCTCACACAATGGGTTTTGCATTTGCACAAATATCCCATTTGGAAAGTTCAGGATCTAAGTAGCTTTGTGGTAAATCCTTACTACTTCCCCACATTACACATGCTCCAGTCTGCCAAGCTACTGCTCCATTAGTTTCTTTCAACCTGCTGTCAGATCAACTTTTTTGTTCTCTTTCTTTGTTGGTTTGCTCCTTCCTCAATGTTATCTTTGAAATTTGATTTCTTTAATGTTCTACATTTAATTCTTGGCATTCCTTGCTGGGAGGAGAACCTTTCTTTAGTACAACTTCTCTTTATATTTGTGCATTCAAGTTGTTTTTGACTTGTGGCAACCCTAAGATGACCTTATCATGGGCTTTCTGAGACTGAAAATGTGTCACCTAGTGGATTTCCATGGCCAAGTGGGGATTCAGGCCATATAATTGTAATCCCACACTCAGACCAGTACAACACATAAACAACATCTTCCTAGCCTACTAGTAAACCTCAATCCCAAAAGACCAGAAGATATCCTGGAATTCCCTCTATGAAATCTACTTTTATACACTAGATGAGGATGAACCTAAGCTAGTATTATTTTCTAAATGCATTTAGTAGTGGGCCTAAAAGCACCACATCAAATCTGAATTTCAAAGCTAAACAGGCCAGTACTTAGTTCCGGTTACTACTTAAATGGGAGACCATCAATGAATACCTATAGCTATAGCCATATTTCAGAAGAAAGAACTGACCAAAGCAACACTGAGTATTTTTAGCCTAATAAAACGCTATGAAATCCATGCATTGCCGGACATTGACAGGTGACTTAAAGGCATACAAACATGGTAACACAATCCGTGTGTGTGTGTGTATAAACTCTCTGCGTCCAGCATACTGTATGATCTCATCTCATTTCAGTCATTTTGCCATATAAGCTATCCCAATATCTTTATTGCCGCCAGGCRTAATTAATTGGCAGAGCATGTTTTCAATGTGTTTTGTTGTTTTTAAAAGCATCTCAAAGCATAGTGGAGTGCTAGTAGATCTCCGCTGAGGACAAAAATTAACACATCACAAAACTTTTCTTGTCATTTGCTTGAGATCTTTGAAATTCAAAGCAGCTAAATTTAACAGAGACTCCCCTATCCCATGCTGTTTAAAATACCCAGAAGCTTATTGTTGCACATTTCTCTACATTAATAGAAAGAGTTCTGAGCCAAGCTTTCGTTCTGCCATTCTAAACCTCATGTATAAGCAGCTATATCAGCATGTAAGCTTTCCTTTCCTGTTAACTTGGATATTCTTCTTGGCATGCTTGAGATATAGTTCCTGCTGAGCTAAGACAAAGAAGTCTTGCTTAAATTCCAGATGTGTTATTTAGACAAATCTTCGGATGGATTCACATGGTCCTCTGAGATGACTTTTCCTGCCTCGCTTCGGTAGAAATCTTTTAGCCTTATGAATGATTCAAGTAGGAAAAAAAAGGAATAGAGCAGCACCTTTGAGATTAACTGGTTTATTGTAGCACAAACTTTTGTGGATATCAGCTCACTTCTTCAGATATACTCATAGACATAGAAGTATAGCCACATATATACTACAGCTAAAAGAAGTGGGGATAGGGTAAGAGTCTAATAGGATAAAGAAAAACATATTGTGATCCAGGTGATAAACTTTCAAAGGTTGTCAGAGATGACACAAGCCTGTCAGGCAGCTACTCCATAGTCTTGAGATAAAACTTAAAACAGTTCTACAGAAGCCTGTGTGAGAGTGCCTTCAAGTCATTTGTCAATTTAGGGCAATCCCATGAATTTCATAGGTTTTTCTTAGGCAAGCAATACTCACGGGGTGGTCTTGCCAGTTCATTCCTCTGAAATATAGTCTCAGGTATTCATTGGCTGGTTCCCATCCAAGCACTTATCACGGCTGCGTAACTTCCAAAGTCAAATGGGTCTTAGTGCCCTTAGAGTATTTAGGTCTAAAAGAAGCCTTTACTTAAAACAACAATTTATTACGGTCCATAGACCCATCAGTAAAACCAACAAACATTACTTAAAGAAATGCTAAAGCAATTTTAAGCAATAATTAAGCAATTATCTCAAGTGATAATTGAGATAATGTCCAAGAAAAAAAATTAAATATGGTGCTAAAGAAAATCAGTCTACTTGAAGGTTTTAGATCTAAATCCCAACTTTGAAGATACTGCTTTGAGTTTAAAACAGACTATTCACAATAAAGAAGAAAAATTAAAAAGGAACTACTAAAACTCTACTACTGCTGATTTTTTTAAACTGGGAATTGGATTTCCTGGCAAACAAAGATACAATTTTCCTTCCTCAAAACCTCAGAAGTTTGTTTTTTGTTTTGTTTTTAGATATAGCCTGTTTTTATTGTGGACTACGTAAAACCATATGGACTTTCACAAATTCTACTCATTGTTTTATATTAAATGTTTTAAGTTGAATGAAGCTTTAAAAAATGCCAATAGTTAGTGAAATCCATGAAGTTGTTTGTTACTCAACATCAACATTTTAATTGCTGCAAAGAAAGAAATGAAAGATTGAGCCAGAAAAGAAAATCAGATCACTTGAGTTGGGAAACTATTTCAAGAATTCTTATGTACCTGAGGACACAAATAAGCATATAAGTATTGTGCCAAGAATCCATAATTACTGCTATTGTGAACTATTATGTTTCTTTCGCACTTGTGTTGATTTTTCAACCATTGGGGGTTCAGTACTCATTGGTCAGCTCATCTTGTGCTTGATGCACTGATTCGTTGTCTTCTTCCTTTTTAGCTTGGCTTGGAAAAGACATGGCACATGAACACATCCTGCACAGTGGAATGCCCTGTGAACTGTCAGCTTTCTGACTGGTCTCCATGGTCGGAATGCTCTCAGCCTTGTGGCCTTGCCGGTGAGTTGAGAAGCTTTCGTTTGACTGATACATAAGACATCTTAAGAGATGAGCTCTCATCTCATATCACTCACTAAGAAACAGAAGGAACAGTGGCTTGGATAAAGAGATTGGGAGGTCAGGGGAGGATTGCTTTGCCTGCATGCAAGCTTCCCCTGATGCCATGCTCATGCTAAGAGGATCAGGATTGTCAAAATCCATTCCGACGATAATAGAAATGAGGAAAGGGTGAATGTGCTACACAGGACTATGACAAGGAGTCTGTCTGCGTCTAGCATATCAGAGCGAGAAAAAGACAATTTTAGGTCCCAGTTGGAAGAGATATCCTTCACAGCTTACTGAGAGGAAGCATCCCAAAGGCGTCCTGCTTTCCTGCAGATCCAACCAACATCAATTGGTTGTTATAAATCTTTTTTGGTTGCAGAGGTGATATAATATCAAGGAAAATGAGTTATGTTGGGACAGAATTTGACTCTTTCTATTAGCACTTGAAATTGAGTAATGAAGAACAATCCTACAAATGCATCTGGGGGAAGAAACACATAGTGCAAAGGTAACGTTTATTTGTGTCATAGGTCTATTTTAGCAAGCCAGTGTGGAGTAGTAATTTGAATATTGGGCTATGACTGTAAAGACCAGACTTCAAATCTCTGCCCACAGTCTACTTTACTCCATTGCAGCTCACTTTTATAGTTGCTGTGCATGCAATAGCCAAATGTTTTGTCAAAATGTACCTTTTCAGCAATACAGCACACACACCGTATGCACTATGATCATTTCGTTGTTGCTGGGGAATTGGAGGATGAACAGAGACATGCAGCTACAGGGAGAGAACTGACTGTGTTTGAGTTCATCTCTTGGCTCTCCAGCAACATGGAAATGCCTGTACTGGTGCAAAGGAGGAGGAAGGTTGCAGATAGCTATGAAATTATAGCTATGTCTCCATAGCTATATTTCCTTATGTAGTATCTCAGCCCTCAGCTCAAGTACATAATTAAAAATATCTGGATCTCGGCCAATGCTTGGTTCAAGGACACCCAGTAAACATCATGATTACATAGAGGTTTGAATGCTGGTTTCCCTAACCTTAGACTGTTACACCATACCGACTCCTCTAAGTTTACCTAAATGGTCAGTATAGATGCTTCCTCCCTTCTGTTTTATTTTCTGCCATGGAACAAATGCCTCCTCCCTCCTAAAGCTGTTTGAGGATTCTATCATTAACCATGGTTATGGCTGTAATTCAGTCTAGTCAATCGAAAACTGTGTTCTGAAGTGTCTAAAGTTTTAAAACATACAGCAGTGGCAAGCTGGCACACAATGGCACTTATCTTCAGAAAAAGTATTCTTCAGGTTCAGTTGCAATGGAATTTTCACCCTTTATGTAAACAAAATCAAATTTCACCTTGTGCTGTCATAAAAAAGAGATATCACATGACCACGACATTGCATTTATATTGATACTCTATTCATGTCTGGAACATTAAATGGAACATACATCTTGTCAAGAGACCAAATGCATATAGCTCTACCGCCACTTAGTGGAAGTTTGATGCTAGTCTCTCAGCTATAAAATTAAGCTACTTTGAGGACATATCATTTATGCTGTTACCCTAAATGCCTTTTACCTGAATATAAGCTCTGCTTAAATCTGAGTGGCTATTCATAGGATTATACAGTACTATTCAGGTAATCATTGTTTCCTTATTGTTTGCATATTTCAGAACTTTACTATTGTTATGTCTGCTCAGTAATCATTCCTGAATGTTTTCCCCTACTAAAGCAGGATACTCCAGTACAGTTTTATTATCATTTTGGCTTGAGTACTAACTGGTAAGAAAGCACTAACACACACACACACACTCTTCTGCCGGTACTGTACTACCTGTTCCCTTAAAGAAGCAGATTCCACCAAAAGGATTAAAAATGAGGGGCAATCCTTTCATAGTTGTGTATCTTTCTGAAATGGAGACATGGTCCTCAAAAGGCACCAGATCCTATCTGATCTTGGAAACTAAGCAGGGCCAGCTCTGGTTAGTATTTGGATGGGTGACCACGAATGAATGTCAGGTGCCCTATTTTGAGAAAGAACTAGCCAAACCACCTCTTAACATGCCTTGGCTAAGAGAAACCTGTGCAATTCATGGGGTCGTCATACGTTAACAAGTGACTTAAGGCACACACACCTTAAGCAGGCTTTAGTTGAGTGAAGTGAATGTTAATGGCTGTTAACCCCCCCCCCCTTTATTTTTTTAAACATTTCTTGAGGCTTTCTGTGTTAAAAGTCTGTTGCCTATGTTGAAAATTCTTTGTTTGTAATTGTAACAGAGGAAACAGAGTGTAAGACAGAAACCAAGCTCTGCTTTATACTTAGCCATTCCTTGTAAGTCCAGCAGATACATAATTAACATGAAGAAAGATTGTGTGAATGTGTCACATTATAAGCAATCAATCATGAAGACATCTGGGCTTTGTTGGATTGCAAGTCAGCACACCAATGGTGAAAAATGCAGGGAGTCATAACCCAGCCAACACTTTCAATACTTAGGCGGTTCAAGATCAGACCAGGGAAAGTCCTTGTTTTGAAGAGAGCAACAAGTTACTGTTTTCCTCTTTTACAAACAACATTATTGATATCAGCCCTTCCACAATCTGAAATATATGTGAGCTATTTTGGACACTAATATTCTCAGCCAGTGGTCATACTAACATTTTGTTTGGTCTAGCATAGTCAGCATAGTGTAGAGGTTAGAGCTTTGACTCTGGATATCTGGGTATGGATCTCCACCAGATCATAGAAACCCATTGGATAACTTTGAGCAGGTCAAACTCTCTCAGACTTGGAAGAAGGCCAAGGCGATGACCCTCCAAATAACACTTTCTCTCTTTTTGGTATGAAGGAAAGATGATACGAAGAAGAACTGTTATCCAGCCCTTCCAAGGTGATGGGAGACCATGTCCTTCACAAATGGAACAATTCAAGCCCTGCCCAGTAAAACCTTGCTACCGATGGCAGTACAGTCAGTGGGCTGAATGCAAAGTTGAGGTAAAACAAATGTTTGAATCCTTTCATCTTTAAAATGTTTTGAATACAATCAAGGAAGACAAAGAATACAGAACTGTTTATAATGTACCTCTGAACTTTGTCCCTGGCCATTAGCTTTGTTAGTTCAGACTGATGGGAGTTGGAATTTAAAAAGCATCTGGAAGGGCATAGCTATTCCCAATCCTGTCTATAAACCAAGCTATTAGACCTTATTGGGCTGGGGATGTCATGAACAATGCATGGGCTTCTTTAAATGGAAAACAAGAAATAGAAAGCCGTTGTTTCCTTGACATCATTTGTTCTTGACAGTTCAAAATTGTATGTGAAGACAGCTTGTGCAGTCCCATGAGGACTGTATTAGCACAGAAAATTATGCATACAAGCATTTGTTTAAATAAGCCATATTGAAATCTCCTAGAATTTGTACAGCTGTCTTGCTGTTGAATGGTATCTAGTTTAGTTTGGTTTTTTAGTTATGGTGTATATGGTGTATATGTAAGGAAATGTTGGCATAGAAGCCCATTCAACTCTGTAGTTGTCTCTTCTTAAACCATCCTTGTAGCATTTCACCCTGTCCTAAATTGCAAATCTAAAAAGCAGGAAATGTGAGTGAATGGAAGCTGTAACACGTTTAAAGGAGTCATCAGCTCCAATTATCTTCTGATCAATGGTGGACATAGTGACATAGTAATTCATCAACATTTAGGAGGCCATAAATTCCCCAATGTTTAGAAGGAAAAATTTGTCTTTTTCATTATAGTCCAATTAACACAAAGTCCATTCAGTGATAGAAAAAGAACAGGATGTAGGTGTTTGCTTTTGTTGGAACAACTTCACTACCTGGAGTTAACTCTAGTTTACATCAATTTTGGTAATACAGATAGGGGAAGTAGTTCAACTGTACAATTTTTAGTCTCTTCCACATTCTTTTAGAAAGAAATAGGCTGTGAAAAACTGCCTTAAATCAAAAAAAATCACACAGCAGTCTAACATTGCTTATGTGAAATTAGTCTTGGTTAATTTATATACCTTTAGGCTATTTTCATTGCAATAGTATGCATGTTTGTTCAGAATTACATCCACTTTAGTCTAATGAGGCTTAGTCCCAGTTAAGGGTATATAGTTATATATATTTACCTGGGAGAAAGCTCCATTGAATTCATAGATATTTACATTTGCATAGCCATAGAATAATAGAATCACAGAGTTGGAAGAAACCAGAAAAGTCATCCAGTTCAACCCTCTGCCATGCATAAGAAAGTATTTTATGTGAATTTCAACTTTAGGACAGAAATAACTGATTTAGCTACTATAGAGCAAGCTACTACCATGTGCATAAAGACAACTCAATAGAATTTCTAAACTCGGACTGTCCAGTAGTAGTGAAGTTTGCTAAATGTTTGTAGAATTGTGTTCAGCTTTCCATTTCTGTTAATATTTTTTATTGCTTCACATTTTCCAGGATGCTCAGTGTGGTGAAGGGACAAGAATCAGAAATATTTCCTGTGTGGTCTATGATGGATCCAGTGATGACATTGGCAAAATAGTGGACGAAGAATTTTGTGGGGAAATAGAACCAGTTGTGGATGGAAATAAGAAAATTGTACTTGAAGAAACCTGCACCCTACCTTGTCCTGGTAAACAGTTTGTTTGACTGCATTCTAAGCCACTGTTTCTCACATTGTTGATTAATTTACTGAAAAAAGAGCCTGAAATGACACATTCCTTTCCACAGTTCATTGGAAAGTGCAGCCTGTAGATTCTAACATCGAGTAATGTCTAATGGCTGATGGCTAGCCATTGATTTCTATTTCTGATTAAACTTTTTGCACATGTGCCTTCCTTATTTAGCTCAAAACTGGTGGGTTTTCACACCAAATCTGAACAAGTGCTACAACCTGTTGTTTTTGTGCTCTTTTTCAAGGTATTCTTTGAAAGCAGAGTTGGGTTGAGTGTGTTCCTCACTCTAAATATGCTGAGGAAATGACCTTTGCTTGAATGGCTCCATAATTCACCAAAGAGAAGATTAACTCTCCTATGGGGATGGGTTAATGATGCACTCTAGTTAATGCTTCCAAAGATCACTACATGCCCACCTATTATACATACGTCATTTATTCAATAATTCATTTCTTTACACGATTTCTTAATGTTAGCAAATAAAACGGCTTCATTAAGGCAGCCAGTTAACATGGAGCTGACTTTATTTGTTGTCAACCTAACGTAAGGTGACATGAATTTTTAATCATCCTTTTACTGATATAATTAAAGCTCTAGGGCTGATCTATAAGCCTGGTTGTCATTTTTGCATTATGGCTTCCATATCTATAGGGCACTATAGCTAGAACTGACTGCCAAGAAATCTCACAATTTTGTAATATGCTTTGTTGTGTGTAGTTCTCAAGCTATAAGAAACATTGTGGAATTTTATAAACTCTTGAGAGTTTTTTAAATACAGAACATGACCAGATCAATGAATATTTTGGATTACGTTATCCAATGCATCAGATATCCTAACAAGCAATCTATCAGTCCTTAATGAGCAACATATGCATTTGCTGGCCAATCTCACCGTTGTACCAAGCCAAAGAGCTTGGATGAAGTTGATTGAAAAGATAAGGTTGGGCAAAATATCAATAGTACTCATTGCAACTAGATCATTTTGCAAAGCTATTTAAGGCTAGGGTTTAAGGTTGTGATATGATATTGTAAATCCTTTATACCCTGCTTACCCCTCCCCTCCCCCCCAATTATTTAACAGGTGACTGTTACTTAAAGGAGTGGTCAGACTGGAGCCTTTGTCAATTGACCTGCATTAATGGTGAAGATCTTGGTTTTGGAGGAACACAGGTTCGATCACGAGCAGTTATTATTCAAGATCTGGAAAATCAGCACCTGTGCCCAGAGCAGGTTTTGGAAACAAGACCATGTAATGGTGAGTCCTGAAATCCATAGCCAAGTCGGGGCTCATTTTATGATATGTACACTCTGTTATAGAGCCATGATGATATAGTGGTTTGATTGTCGGACTATCTTAGACTTGGAAGAAGACAGTGACAAACTCATGGTGAACAATCCTGGATAAAATAGAATTGACCATGCATTGGCACCATGTACATGAGGCTGATTAATTTGAAAACAATATTCGGTACAAAATAGATGATTAATTGGTTCTAGACATTTGGTGACATATATTGCTGAGAGTAAAACAGTTCCACTAGCACTTTGTCCATTCCTGAATTCATGTCAAAGTACACATGTTGACCTTTACAGATACTTATGGCTCAGTACCAGGGCACCAGTGTTATCATTTCTCTCTATATTTTCTTATAATTGACATGGAGCCATTTTCAAAGACCTTTCATAGCCATCTTAGTGGATGATAAGTTATGAGATACTAACTCAAGACACAAATTACATAAGAAGAGTATGTAACCCTCAAGCCAAATGGAGGATATCTGACAGCTTTACTGTTTTCAATTCAGATGGTCAATGCTATGAGTACAAGTGGATGGCCAGCGCATGGAAGGGATCTTCTCGGGTAGTGTGGTGCCAAAGGTCAGATGGTTTGAATGTTACAGGTAATTGTTCTTCTTCATTCATGTTTTTGAACAAACTTGGCCACATGTGTTTTTAAAAAATAAAGAAACACAAATAACCATGTGTTCCTTGCTCTAGATAAAACCTCACAGCATATATTAGCATTAAAGCTCTAGCAGAAAGCTAGCTATACCAACAACTTAAGAACAGTCATGCTGAATCAGACTAGTTCAGCTTTCGGTTTTAACAGTCAGATAAGAGCTACATCTCTTGCAGAAATTACAAACATTTGGGCTTGATTAATGTTTTGGAACGCCCTTCCCATGGAGGTAAGATCAGCCCCCTCGCTGATGGTGTTCCGAAGAAGATTAAAAACCTGGATGTTCGAACAGGCATTTGGTTAATTCGGTGCAATGAATGTAATGATTAAAGGATTGGTAATATGGACGACGAAACTGGATCACGATTTTAGTCAGGAGATGCATTGGATTGTTATTGATGTGCAAATATTGTGTATCATGCTTTTATGGTTTTAAATTGTATACTGTTGATTGTTGTATTTTGTTGTAAACCGCGTTGAGTCGCCAGCTAGGCTGAGAAACAGCGGTATACAAGTATAGCAAATAAATAAATAAATTTTGTCAGAAAGAACTACAATAAGCCAATTGTTGGGGGGGAAAGGGATATGGAGACTTTTTCACATTGGCATTTTAGTCTGATACTGCAGAAATAAATAGATAACTTCTGTAATATTTAGTCTTGGGGTAAGGAACATTCCCTGAATTTTGTACAACATCCTGACTTCTAAGAGATTTCAGCTGCAGTGTGGCTTTCCAGAATTCATCTCTCTTACAAACAGAACTGATTTTTAAAACTAGTGGATTCATACAAATCCCTAAATCATAAATTATTGGTGTGAAAAGAAGTAACCCAGAAATCATCAAAAGGCAGTTATATTAGTAGAACCATAATACTTGCATCTCTTGGTATGATGATAAGTGATTCAAAAATCTTAGTCTTTTATTAAATATTAATGAGCACCTCCAAAACCTTGTTTATTAGCTGTGCACTGACCTCAAGTTCCTGAGAAAAGAGGATGCAAGTTCATCACAACAAAGTAAAGCATTTGTTTTGGTTACAAGTATAGATTAGAAGCCTTATAACATTACAACAAATCCACCTAGCAGCTTTCTGTCTTGTCAATTCTGTTTATTTATTTAGGTCACAATCAAGTCAAACCTAAGTACTTTCATGTCTTATTGATTTAAGGTGAAAGGTGGTGCATCCATCTGCTGCTCCCACTGAAAACAGTGGGATATAAGAGAGTAATTGTGGTTGAATTCTAGGCATAAAGATTTATAGCCTGTGTCACAACTACCATCACTAAAGGAGTTTACAACATGAATGAAAGCTTGGCTCCACATTTCTTTATGTTTAGAGTAGACCTATCAAAATCAAAGGAACAAGTTGCTTCTAACTTGCATCCCACTGATTTCAATATGTTATGGAAGTATGACTGAATTTGGATCTCACCCAACAGATTATATTCAGTGTTAGTTTTAGCCAAATATAACTGGGAACATATCCCCCCCCCCCCCCGATGTTAATGAATGATAAGTCCTATCATGGATTTCCATTGGCTAGAATACCTCGAACTGATGGGAATTCGCGCTAACAACACATTGAGGACAATACTTTCCTCTGTCCCTAGTTCCTGCTTATGCAAGACACACCATATTACCTCCTATAGTTCTAGAGCAGTGGTATCAAACTTGTGATGGACAAGCTGGCTAAGTCTTTTGGGAGTTGGAGGCCCAAACATCTGATCTGGCACCTCTAGCGGGTCTCCCTAAGCTTTGTGGTAAGACTTAAATTACAGGACCAAAATAACATGGATAAACATGTTTTCCACTAAGGGAGATCCCCTTTCAGATGCAACTCTACAATTGTAATATAAAATGTTGCAACATTAAAAGCACATGTTGTCATTATAACAATATGCTTAAAGTATGAAGACATATTTGAAACAAGCACTCTCCAGAGACCTTTCTCGACCCACCACAATAAACCACCTTGTTAGTGATGGTAATTGGTTATATCACCAACTGTTGGAGTGTTCAGAGTTTTAGTTACATTTTCCACTCATTTTCTGAAGGGAGAGGCTGGAATACTGTTGGAACAGTGCTATAACCAGTGAAATCAGAAGAGAAAGGCCACAGGTGCAGTAGCTGTGATTAGAAAAGTAGGCTGGTTGAATTTGGCCAATTTTTGCTACTATCCTATTGGTTAGTTCCAACTAGAACAGGTCTATTCAAATCAGTAGTTGGTTGGTGAGTCAACCGTTAAGTAAATAATATGGATTGAATGGGTTTGTCTTTCCTTGCCACTGCAGCCAAATTCCAGCCATATTGTGTATTTAAAAAAAATCTTGGATAATTTTATTTATTTACTTATTATTTTAAACATTTGTACCCAGTCCTTCTCAACCCCTGAGAGGGAACTCAGAGCAGCTTACAATGGCAGCAATTCGATGCCGACAACATACAAGACACATTACAATACAGCATTGCACAATAGGTAAAAACATTAGATTAAAATCCATTTAAAAACCATATAGCCATATCTGAGTTTGAGTCAAAGACCAACGACCCAGTCCAAAGCCTGTCCATAGTCAAATCTCAAAGCATTGTAGTTACTGTCAAACCTGCTGCCTGCATTGATGATATTGTATATAGCTGCCCTGGAATAGTATAAAAAATATCAATATATGCTTATATTTGCTTAGACTGCTGTGTTTTGACTTTCTTTTTCAATTTGTTCTACCTCTATTGCAATGTAATTGTTCTGAGTGGTCTTTTGATATCCAGGTGTTACTTTTGCAGATACCTTAATTCAAAATGAAACAAGTGATGAAGCAGGAATGTCCTCCTGTAGGCCTCAGGGCGGCTGATATTTTGTCACAAGGGTGCTCACAGGCATGTGCATCTTATGCCGGGACATACAGAGTTTACCCTATTTCACTTCACAACTAGCAAGATTGATTTGGGTCACTGCCAATAATACCTAACCGCATCTAATTGCATCTGTTGTGAACAGGGTTTCATCATTGTTTTTCACCAGGACACGTGCATGCTTATTTCAAGATGGTTGGGCATGCAAACAAGAGTGTGGAAGTCAACATTAATTATGTACATAGTGACACTTACCTCTAGAAGCTATGTACTCTTTTGTAAAGACAAAATGAGAAAACCGGGTACTTTAAAACACTGGCCAGAAAGGGAGGGGGATTCAAGTTCAAAACAATGATGAAAGCTTGTGTGTTTAAAACAATAACTGTGCAGCATTCATAACAATATAGCCACAGAGAATTAAGAACTGAACGTGGAGAAAGATTACCCTTAATAACTACATATTTGGTATACTTGTCTTTTTAAAAAATAATTTATTATTTTGAATTCATCAGTGACAATCAATTGGTTCAACTCCATTCCTTCAAAATGAACAGTTTAATGAGAAAAATATAATTTGTTTTCATAGAATCTTAAGATCATTGATTGGGAAGAGACTTGTTGAATAAAAAGATAGTTATTAAAAAAGGAAAGAGACCACAAGGGCCATACAGCCCAACCCCCTGCCTTGCAGGAAAATACAATCAAAGCATTGTGTCATTGTGAACCAGAACAACTTGTGCAACAGCCTTTAAGGTGATGGAGCTATAAAGGATCCACCCCTAGGAACAATTTTTCCCCTTTCTTCAGATAAGAATGGTTAAGAGGGTCATGGGAAGTATAGACATGGAGACATTAATACAACATAGCTAGATTATACTATAGAAGGAAGGGCAGTTCTCAGAAATGTTGATGGTAACCAACTCATCCTTTTTATGTTACCTGTAAATTTGCTCACTGGTTGGATAATCAAGATGAAAGCTCCATATTATAAGGGCACTGTTGTTTCCAGTTTGTATCACCTTTGGCAGTTGACCAGTAATGTTAAAGGCTGTTAACAGTAGGACTGACCTGCCAATAATACAGTTGCCTCTCAAATGTGAAATCCAGTTATTCCCAGTACATTTTCTTATTTCTAGCCAATTGCTTGTTGGAGAACCAAGTCGCCATTAGACCCCACAACATTTTTTATAGACAGATACAAAACATTCCATCAGTCACTAGTATTCTTCCTATGAGAAACCATAATGGAGTACAAGAGCAACTTCTCCCATTTATTGGATCCCTTTTTTTCTGGCTATCATGGAGATTTTCCGCAATAGTGAGGAACAAGTGTGTCAAAATACAATTTATTTTGTTCTGCAGGAGGCTGCTTAATGCTACACCAACCAGAGATTGATAGATCATGTAAGCCATCCTGCAGTCAACCCCATTCTTACTGTAGTGAGGTAGGTGTTATTGTATCATATGAATGTCTACATGTGGCCACAGTAACATCTTGATGTGTAATTTTGGAGCAACAGGAGAAGTGAAAATCATTTAAAATGTTGACATTTGGGAAATGTTGGAATAGGGAATCTCAGAATTTATTTGAAAACTAAATTTCATGGGGAAATTTAGCAAGAGATTAGATTTCATGAGGAAATTTCATACAAACATAGAAACTTTGCCAAAATCTTTGTTTATCTTCCTCTGCCCAGGAAAGGAGTGTGGGCAATTAAATGGGATTAAATTGACCACAAATTTATTTATTTATTTATTTATTTATTTATTTATTACGCTATTTCTATCCCGCCCATATCAGCCCGAAGGCACTCAAGGAATTAGTGTTTATCCAAGGACTAAAAGTAAACCCTTTTAAAGATATATTCAAGATCTAGCAAACCTCTGCTATCAATACTGAGCTAACAGAATGAGCTCTACCATTAGGCATCTAACTCATTCAGCAGTTGGAGAGCTCTGACAACATTTTGTAGGAGCACAGTGTGTGCTAGATGAGGTTTTGTGACTACCAAAGGACTACATTTTAAAAAAGAGAAAAGTTTGTAGAGCAAACCAAGATGCTTAACAGGCAGCATAAATACAGCAGTGTGCCTCCACTTTACCATGCTTGCCAGTTTCATCTCATTGGTGATGTGGGTAGAAAATGGACTTTGGTATGTCCTTCTCCAACCTCTCAGTTACATCACATTAGAAGGCAAGATGTAGTACCTCTTAAGAGCCTACATGGGGTAGTGATTTGAATTTTGGACCAGGACTCTGAGAGATCAGTGTTCACATTCCCATTCAGCCATGGACATGCCTAGGTGCACCTTGGGAAAGTCACACTCTTCCAGCCTCAGAGGAAAGCAAAGGCTAACCCACCCCCCACCCCCCAAACAAATCTCAACAAGAAAACTTTGTGAAATGATCATTATAAGTCTGAAATGGCTTGAAGGAACACTGCCATAGCAACAACAACATATATCTCTTTGCTGCCCACCATCAACTTTGCCACCATATCAGTTTGGTGTAGTGGTTAAGGATAATTTTATTGTTCTTCCATGTTACATTGTATAGCTCTGAAAGATGTCTTACTTTACTACAGTGTGTAAAACACTTATTCTTCTGCAGACTAGGACTTGTGCTTGTGATGAAGGGTACACAGAAGTGATGTCCTCTAATGGCACACTTGAGCAATGCACTCTGATCCCGGTGGTAGCCATCCCCACAGTGGAGGACAAAAAGGGGGATGTAAAAACCAGCCGAGCTGTGAATCCCACACAGCCATCCAGTACCCAATCAGGACGAGGAAGAGCTTGGTTCCTGCAGCCTTTTGGACCAGGTGAAGTTCCATGTAAATAGTTAGTGCTTCTAAATACTGTCACTGAAATGATTTCGTTTCATGAAAATATGGTCCATTTCTAGAGTTTTGACAGAATGTCTTCCAGAGGGAAAAGATGGAAGTGATGCATAGAGAGCAAAAATGTAATTCCTTCTGTTAACAGGATAGAAAAGAGGTGGAATGGTTTTCAGATCTTTCCTGGTTCTTACCATTCTTAAGAGTGTTGAACATTTAGGGATACTTTTATTTTATTCAAACTTTTACTAGCAATGCAGTGTGTGTGTGTGTGTCTGTGTGTGGGTGTGTGGTGTGTGTGTGTGTGTGTGTGTGTGTGTATGAGAGACCATGTCAGACATAAGCTTAGGTCCATGAGGCCCACTGGCCAGGCATTTGAGTCCTCTCCACAACATACTTATACTATTGCTTACTAGTTAAGGCTAATTCTTATCTACCCCTTTTCTAAATGTTCCAAAGTTTTTTCCAAGATACTCAGAGGCAGGTGGATGTAGCCAGGAATGTCTGCACAGCCAGCAAGTGGCTAGGGGAATGTAATCATTATCAGGAACTCTCTAGTTGTTGTTGTACCCTTGTTGTACAAATGGGGACTAGATACTTCTCAGTATTGCTTCTCAGTACATCCACTGATGAAACTGCAGCCTTGCCAGGATATGTAACCATAGGATACTAATGAAAGTGTGCACATTGTACAGCTTTGTGTACAGTAGCCACTTGGTATATCTGTTGTGGTTCCGGTACACACACATACCTCATGCATACCAATTTCCATAGATGCCCAAATCACATTATATATAATGTCAATTAGATTTGATGTGGATGGCTAGGACGGTCTTAAATGGTGTATTTTAATATTTTGACAAATGTTTTTTAATGTTTATGTATTGTATGTGAATCTGTGTCCCGGCATTGAATGTTTGCCGTGTATATGCTGTTCTCCGCCCTGAGTCCCCTTCGGGGTGAGAAGAGCGGAATATAAATGTTTTAAATAAATAAATAAATAAATAAATAAAATAGTAAAACAAGTATCTCTTGGATAAAACAACAAAATAGAGGATTTTTTAAAAAAATCAAACCATGGATGGTTGAATGTGGATACAGAATCCATGGATATGAATGGTCAACTATGCTAATGTTTTCTGTTAAGACACCATGTACCTACTGGTCATAGCGGGCCATATTTTTTATTTAAGATACATAGGATTGCTTTTGTGACTGTCAACAAATCACACATTTACTGAAAGTCATTGGACATCTTAATCACTAGTATGAATGGAAATCTAGCTTCATTAAATATTTGAAAAAGAGTGTAACAAGAATACCCCTCCTGGGAGTTAGACACATACATAGGGAATAGATGTGTTCTGAACTATTGATGTCTTAGCTTGACACTCAAGTTCACACAATGAGAAGAGTAGGTTTTGTTCTTTACTCTCTGGCTAACTTTGTACTTCACACTGCAAGCAAAAAAGTTGCCACACTTATCTACTAAGTGACTTCATGCAGCCTCTAAATAGCATTATTGAACAATATCACTAACAGGACTTGTGCAAGCTTTTTAATATGTTCTATCCATGTTTACTATATTATATATCCTAATTCTCTTCAGTATTAGCTTTCAGTTTAACGACTAACCTTAACTCATTTTAGATGGGACGCTGAAGACATGGGTTTATGGTGTAGCTGCTGGTGCATTTGTTTTGCTCATCTTTGTTATTTCTATGATCTATCTCGCTTGGTGAGTTCTTCAGTAATTTATTATCTTTTAAACTATTATTATCAAAGCCATAAATGTGAAATTCAGTAAGAAAGAGATAGATAGCTAAGGGTCCCATTAGGATAGTTACTCTATCTGAAACTGAAAATATGGAGGCAGGAACAATGTTTCCATGACAGTGAGTGCTATAGAGTTATCCTCTTCAGAAGATATTCTAATATTATCTGTATTTGGATCCCAGCATTGAAGCTGGTATTACCTATGTGTTAATGTAAATAAATTGAAAAATATATTTAAAGTGTATTGGATTTGAATCTATCATAATTTAATTTACAACTGTTAGTTTCTTTGATCAAAATCAGGAAAAAAACCCATCCTAAATTACTAGACATTCTACCAGTTGAATTTGGATTAGTCAGTATATAAGATACTCTGAAGAAAGGTGACTTGAATTACAAAACAGTAATGCTGTAGCGAAATAATCCATGCTACAGCTAAATAATTTCATGCAGCTCTTCTGAAATGAAAATTAAATCCAATCATTAAATATTATTTAGTCTACTTTGATATCTGAGTTATTAACTGTTGATTTTATTCACTGCAGCAAAAAGCCAAAGAAGCCTCAAAGAAGACAGAACAACCGTCTGAAACCTTTAACTCTGGCTTACGATGGAGATGCAGACATGTAAAATAATGACTTTCCATTGACTTTAGTCTGTTGAAACTGTAAGAGTTCAAAAAGAGCATGTACGCAGTGTACATCACAGAGCAGGACAAAAATAATAACTTGACAATAGCCATGGATACTCCAAGAAACTTGTTTGGTTCCATCTCTATCAGGACAGCAAATTCTGGTGACAAATTTCTGTTGTTAAGCACAGCAGCTGGAACTGTTAATGTGGCCTTTTTTGTTTGTTTGTTTGGAAAAGGATAAACTGTCAAGCCACTTGTATCTCCAGCCAATTGTATATGACTTATATTGACATCTGGAAGTCTGAATGCCACAGCTCTAGGCAGCATTAACCTAATGTACTCAGTAAGCATGAAGAGATCATACCAAGATGTCTGTAATGCTTTATAGACAACTTATATACTCAGTCGCACCATATGTATTAACCTGTTAAATGACTTACTGGCTAAACAGCAATCTAGTGCTTAGTAACCTGTTGACTTTAACTGAGACAAAGAACCCACTGAGCAAGTTTGGCATTTTGGCAATGGAAGGTGGTTTATTTTTTCTTTGACCTGCCTTCCACAAAAGTGAAGACTTGCAAAAGATTTATTACCCAACTGCAGATACTAAAGCGCCATACACACACTTATTAAGAAAGAAAGCATTTCAGGTTCACTATTTTATAGAAGTTGTCTGGAAAATTAATATCTGTGTGTAATACGTTTTTACTTTCTCTGACTCTCCAACGGTTGCCTGCAACTTTTTTTCTACACATAAGGCAATTTTTTGCACTATATTAGTGCAGCATGATATGCACTTATTAAGTAGTATTGCCATAGAAACTGCCTCTTTTCAATAAGGATGATGGTGAAGGTGCTGCGTCTTTTCAAACAGCATCAAATAGACAATTTACCAGTAGGTTCTTGAGTCCTCCTGAGAGTAGAGAACAGTTTCTGGACTGTGACTGGATCAGACCAGCGAATACAAGTACTGTTTATACTATTTCTTGTAACAGCAACTGTTTTGTAGTTGAAACCATGGCAGTAAATGTAAGTGTCTACTTTTTTGATTCTGTCCAACTTATACAGATAATAGATTTTCACATTGATTTCTAATTACTTTGAAGGTTGTTTATGACTAGATTTTTATATTGCTAACTTTGTAAAAAAAGAAAAGAAAAAAGTGTGGTTGCCCTCTAATCTTGAGGAAGATATTTGTCTAAACAATGTTTCCGTTTATGTTCAGCAGAAATGATGCAAATTGATTACTTATTTTTCTCCTGCTAATGGAAACTGTTTTGTTGCTGAAGACTTAGTAGCGTCTTCTCTTTCCACTTGGGATAACGTGGTGTATTCTTGACTTTTGTTTTCTTCATCCAGACTCATCACTTAATACAGCCTATATGAAGATACAAAAATGGTTCCAGCTTCCTTAATGTAAGCAGGGGGATTATAATGCACTCTAGAACAGATTCATCTAGAATGGCTACCCTATTGATATCCAGGGAACTGAACTGAATTTCTTTCGATGGGGCATCACCTCTCCAATCCAGTACCATTCCATGAGTGCATAGTGAGCTCTGCCTGATGTGCAACTTTAAAAAAAAATACTCCTTGCAATATAACCACTTTCAGCTGCTTCATTTCTTCCACAAATCTCTTCAGTTTTTTAGTGTATCACTTACTATCATAAAGCTTATTTTGCTGCTAGTAATCCACAGCCTATCTAAAATATGAGGTCATTCTTTCAAGATGGCATCTGTGCCTGTCTTGATCTAAACATATTGAATAAGCAATATAATTAATTAACCTTAATTAGGCATCTGTTAAACAACAATTTCTTGGTTCCGTTTTCTCAGGTCTCTGTCAATAAGCTACACTGTTCCTAATGGGGTCATTATACAATTATCATAAAAGCCAGTGTTCCCAGGTGTTTCAAGCCAATTTAAATGGAGGAAATATGTTTTCAGAACAATTCATAATAGTCCTGAGTATGAGTGAAATGTGGTACACAGGTCCTCTCAAAAACCCATTGGGCTCACATCCTCCATATGTATTCATTTTGTTGCTCATTTCCACTCATTCACTCCAGTAGGTTCCAATGGGGAGGAGATTACAGTTATACCAATTCCAATGTTGCATAGACAGGGAAATCCTGGGGCTGCTCCTGTAGACAAAGGAGTTTTGGATCTCAGGCCATTTCTCTCTCCCAGAATTCCACATTTCAGGTCTACTAGTAGGAACACCACTATTGGTATATTTATAGTTTCAGAGTTTTCTCTGGTTAGTCTCCAACTTCTTGAACAGATATGCTGGCCTATGCTAGTGGAGGGCCACCTTCTTCTCATCCTAACCTGAACCAGTCTGAATAAATATGGAACTAAGAAATGCTTTGCCTATTCTTCACCTCAAGTAAAGTCATAATAGACTCACCATACACTTAATCATCTTCATCTACACAATAGCCTTCTAATCCCATACTGATTTTGTTTAAAATAAAGATTTATCATCATTTATGGAGTGTAGCTACAATGAGCCATACCAAAATAGCAGAAGAAATGTAGGGATAGAAAAGGATTTTGCTGGATTTGATAGCAGCCAATTTGCATCACCTAAGACTTTGCCTCAAAAATCCACACATTTGCATATCTTGCAGGGCATTTTGTATTTGTAATGTGTGCATTTTGAAGTGTGAATGGCTAAAAATGCATACCACTAGAAATATAGAGCCAACCTCCCACCCCAAGTGTGGAAAGTGCATACATTAGGCTAAATAAAGGAACACGTTGGGGGAAATGTGTAAAATCAACCACATACAATTTTCAAACAAAATTTTGCAATCTAATAAGCATAAGGCAATGCAGATGGGACTCAATGATGTAAAACAAAACATTGTTACTTCTCAACTGCTTTGAGCAACAATTCTTTGGAAAGATGTATAGTAAGTTTTTAAATAAACATGAAACACAACTAATTTATTCACAATAAAGTTGAAAACTGAATAGATAGTATAGGAGTAGGAAAACATTTTAACCTTCGGATATTTTGGATGGGGTGTTTTCAATTGCTGGAATTCTAGCTAGCTTGGCCAGTTGTATGAGATTACTGGAGTTGATGAAAACATCTAAGGAGGCAGGAAATTCCCCTTTCCTGTGTTCCTGAAATGTTTAGTTGGGCCTTAGTACCCTAATAATGCAGCTGTATTCATGTTTAATTGGCAGCAAGTCATTCTATGTGCAGCAAGGCTTACTTCCACGTGATGTTGCAAAAACCAGATATGCACACCCTGAATTTACAGGAATGATTGTTAAAGAATGGGGTGAATGGAGGTTTACAGTCTGAAAAACTTTCTTTCACTGTAAAGAGAGAAACGCATTTTCAAAGGTCATCAGGTCAGTAGGAAGGCTACAAATACAGTCTCGATGGTGCTTAGAGATCAGACAGTAGCATTGAAGCAGTAATGTATAAAAATAAGTTGCTTTTGAAATGTGTTTTTTTACAAATCCAGTGCCTAAAGCAGCCACTGCAGTAGATTATAATCTACTAATAATAATTAGTTGGGGGAAAATAACATTTTCAGTGATCAGCATGATTCCATTCCAAATCTTGCTGAGGACATTTTCTTCTTGTTGCTGCCATGTGTAATTTCTTTTTTGAAAATATGTGTTTCTAAGATTGCAACATGTCTTTTGAGTCCTGAAACCATGTCTACTCAACATTTCCAGATTCTGCAGAAGCAAGATAATATTTGTTATAGTCACCTATCCTGTTACAGAATTGTCAGCATTTCTCCCATCCTGTATTTACCACTAAAAATGATTAATTTAATATAAAGTTTGTAGAATATCACTGTAAAATCAAGAAATCCACGGAAAGACATAGGTTTGTCTTTTGAACCTTTGTAAATTTTGGTCACCCAAAGTTTTCTTTAAAAAATATTTTGCCTAACGTGCAGTGCAATTCTACATATATCTACTTAAAAGTAAACTCTATTGAATCTAATGGGACTTACTCTCAAGTAAGTGTGTATAGGTTTGCAACCTCAATTTACTTGAATCTTATTTTATCTTATTTTATTTGTAGATTAAGAAGGTGGCTGTCTGGGGAATGTTTACCTTTTTTGTTAATTTGTAAATGTTGTAATGCTTTTTTATTTTTTAAATTATGTATATTTCGTTTTTTAAAAAAATGCACAAAAATGTTTTACGTACAACTACTGCAACTTTGTGTATATTGTCACCAAGCTTTATTCAGTTAATGTGTGTCACATATGAAAATGTAAACATTCTTACCTTTTCATATGTGATATTTGTACATAACTGAGGTAATGCAGACAATAAATATTAACACAAAACTGGTGTGTATGTGTGGGTCTGTGCTATAATTAAAGTATTATTCTGTCATAGAGTGATGATAGCCAGATCCTTCCCTTCATCAATGCTGCAATGCAAGTGCTAGAGCTTATGTGCTATAGTGGTTTGAAAGTTGGACAAAAAGCTCTGGAAACCAAGGCTCAAAACCCAGTATGCTTTATTATGCCAATTGTTTGCCTTAGATAGTTAAGGAAATAGTTTTCATGGTTGCCTCTTGCTAGCATTGAGGCGAAAACTGGGGGTTTGTTGGCGATTTGAGTTCATATGCAGCACTGCTGTCAACTTCTATAGATTTCTGAGAAAACAGGAGCCTTACATCTCTGTAGAGGTAGATCTTGCCAGACGTAGAACTCTGGAACCTCAGGTGAATGAAGTAGCGTCACAGCCTTTCTTCCGTGTGTCACATGTTCTCTTTATTGATGCTTTGCTTGATTTCTTGTCTCACAGGGACAGAAAAAGTTCTTTGCCGCAGGAATGCCTGGTGATTAACAGAAATCTCATGCAGGTCATAAATCACCACAAACATCTTCACAGCAGTCTTGTTAGGGTTGAAAAAGGTCATTTGTATTGTTCCTGAAGGGGACAGCCGATAACCCCTTTTTCCAAGGGACTCTAAAGCAACGGCACCCATGTATGGAGAGGGTGCATTGTCATCAGAAACACTGTAGAAGGAAACTTCGACTGGTAAAGTCATGTGTGTTGGACCTTGGGTGAGACTCATCCCGTGATAGGCTAAGGGTCTTAGCCTTAGAGTCTCCATAAGTAAGAAACAGCTTGAAGGCACACAACAGCAACAACACAACAACAAGAATGCTCCAGTCCACTCACTGGCCAAGATTCTATTTCACACAGATATAGCATTATGCTCCACCATTACTGTCTGTGTTCTCTCCTCCATTCTGTTGGTTGCCAAATGCAGGGAAGTAGGGAGATTGCCCCAACTGCTCCTTACTAATAGGGAGAGGAGAAAGGTTGGGAAGGCAATTCACAGGAGGATATAGTTGTTCTGACCTTATAAGAGGTAAGAAATGACAATATCGCGATATTAGTGTCCCATTCTTTTCTTTTCTCTTGGAACAAGCCCCAAGTACTTTTTATCCTGTGAATTGCCTCTCTGTCCATAAGTATCAGCGGCTCCTGCTGGAGATTAATAGCAGTTGGTTAGAGGGATTGGATAGAGTGCAAAGGACAAGATAATAAAAAGATTTATAAAGAAATATGTACACATAAGCTGCTAACAGTTTGGGTTTTTTTTTCATAATGTGCTAGAGAGCTTGGAACTATGTTTCATGAGTTATCTCTTCTTTGGTAATGATGGCAGAAGATAACACTGTGAGTGAAAACAAAATTGCCTAACTGGTGTACAGTGGGTCCTCAGTATTTCGTGCAGTTTGATTCCAGTATCCCATGTGGATATCAAAATCCATGGATGCTTAAGTCTCATTCTTTACAGCAGCATAGTAAAATGATGTCTCTTATATTAAGTAGCAAAATCAAACTTTGCTATTTGAGTTTTAAAATATTTTGAAAATCTGGATAGCTGAATCTGTGGATATGGAGGACCAATTCGTAATATTTTTAGTTAGTTTTTTATGTGAAAACCAATAAGATAAATTACTTTTCAAGCATAGTAACAATTAATGCCCATGGCTTAGTTTAAAACCATAGTGAGATTTTTTCCCCAAAAGTAACTTTCCAAGCACTCTGGTGTGTTAATTAATGGCCATAACATCATTTGCAGTCCAGGGGTATCATAATTGACTTTTGGAACCATGGACACTGGAATGATAATGCACAAAATTAAAGTAGTATTGAACATAGGAGAACATAGCTCCTGTCACTCACTTTATCCCTTGTCTAGACCCACTCCACTTAATCTTAATGGTAATAAGGGACAAAGAAGACAGTAACTATCTTTCCAGGTTCTGGTAGTGACTAAATAGACTCCAGTATCAAATATACTAAGAGAATGTTTTAGTTTTCGAGCTTTTCTTTGAATGTATGACAAGGATAGGCTGGTTCACTTTACCCAGTTCACTCTGTTGTAGTTGAATCCTTCCTAAAGTTTCCTGGAAGTCAGACTTACCCACCTTCTACCTTTTCATTCCTAGCTGTCCAGAAATAACACTGGCCAAGATGCTACACAGGCAAGCTTAGTGTAAATGTTCTCCATGTACAGCTTTATTGCCACACTCCTCTTCCAAACCACAGAATTATATTACTATGATTCAATTTAACTGCCATGGTTCCATCCTATGGGATCCTGGGACTAGATGCTTGGGGAGGGAAATTTCATCCAGGAAGCTCCAGTGCTTCCCCAACACCCCAGAATTCCATGGGATAGAATAGTAGTGGTATAATTGTGCAGTTCAAAGGAGACCCTGGATTTATTGCACTGAGATATCTGTCCCACGTGGTTATTCTATTGCACATGGGGAGTCTAGATGGAAGAATTACAAAGGTGCCTGGCTGTCCTTATAGTCAGACATAGACCAAGGATATATTCAGAGAATGGTGGATGATACCAATCTGCATCTGGCTTTTGAAATACACCTTCTCCAATCCTTTCTGCTCTCCACCAGCCATGGAATGGAAGGTGCCACCATTGCATAATTGTGACTTCTGGAAAGATATTGGGAATACCAACTTTCACAACAACCAAAGGAAAATACATATACAAGTGGGCTTAGCTTGTGTATATACCACTCTGTGTGTTCAGATGTCATACTCTTTCTGAATGTCACCCTCTTTTTTCCAGTTTTCCTTCTTGTGACAGGCTGAAGTCAAAAGAAGGTAGACACCAGCTCTAGCCAACATATTTCTCCTTAAGTCCCTTCTTTGCTCCATAGTACAATATGGGAGGTAAACTTCTGAGCAGGATGACAAACATTCAGTCAACAGTATTTTTAGAATGACAACTCGCACAATTCCTTAACACTGATAATGCTAACTAAAACCTGTGGGAGTTCAAGTCCAAAACCATCTGGAGAGCCACAGTTCTCTTCCTCTTGTATAAATTAAGGACCTTATAACATTGGCCAGTGTCCCGTTTTGTCAGTGAACTGAAAGGCAGTAGGGCAAATCTGTCGCCCCACGCATCGCTCCCTCATGGCAACACCAAAGCTGAGGGAAGCCTCCGATTTTGCGAGGGAAGCATCATACAACACTTCCACTCCAGTTGTTCTGCAACATCATGTAATGAGCAGTGTACTTATTCATCACTGGACTAGCGGGGAAGCATTTTAGAATGCTAAAAAAACCCAATTGGTGAGGTCAAAGAAGTGTAATCTCATTTTACCTTTATCTTTTCTATTCATTTATTGTATTCAGCAGGAGAAACGGAAACATTTGCAGAAGCATTTATGGTAAGTTTACAAACCTAGAGTAATTCCAGGATTCCAGAACCACCTCACCCCACCCCCATGGATACCATAATCTGTGGATGCTCAAGTCCCATTTGCATTTTAGATTTTTAAAGAATATTCTCAAGCAATGCATGATGGAATCTGTGGATGCAGAATTCATGGGTACAGAGGGGTGACTATACTCCCAGCTTTGTGGGGGATGACCCAAAACTTTCAATAGGCTGGTGTCCTACTCGTGTGTAGTTAATGTTAAAAGTAGTGAAAAACAAACAAAGCAAGGATGATTTGTGCAACATTGTGCACCACCTTCCTTCTACAATATTCCATTCCCTTGAAGCACTCTTCTTCTCATTCTCCTATTGAGCTGGCGTGATCAGAACAGATGGCCTTCTCCCCCTCGGCTGGATACTCCCATCATTTTTATTGATTGCTCTGACAGCCTTAATTCACTTCAGAGGCACCGACTCAGCTTTAATTGGCTTTAATGCTATCAGAATGGTGTTCATATGACAGATTTTAAAAGGCATCAAGTCAAAAGGTCATTGAGCACAAAAATACATTTGAAATATCTCCTCTGGGTAGTGCTGGATGACAGCAGTTCCCCCACTTCTCTACATGCTGATGTTTCCTATGAACAGCAATGTGCATAGTAGGCTTTTCTGTAAATCCATGTTTTGTGAAAGGCTTCAGTGAGCAATGGACTCTGCCATTACAATGCAGCAACCAAGTGTTCTAGCATTCCAGAAGCAAAGCCTACCTGCTGTGTCCAACGATTGCTGGTCCTTAAAAGCTGAACAAAAGTAGCTAAAGTAAGGACTGAGTGATGATGTGTCCTATGAAAACATCTACCATGAAGTTGCTCAACTTTTCTTGAAACATGCCCAAATTAAGTGGAAATTATGGGATTAGAAAAATAAAAAAGCATAGACTTTTGCAATAAGATGCTTGCGGAATATGAATGCATTGCCCTTCCCAGCACAACGAACTCCTCCAAAGTCTAAATTGGGATCCCTAAAAGAAGAACTATAGCGCATCTGCATTGCACTCAGATGGTCCATGGTCTAGCATCTTCAAAGAGAGTGAGGAAAACATACGAAAATATCAGGGAGCAGTTGCCACTCAAAGATTGGATCAACCTATGATCCGTGGACTACCAGAGGTCCGCAAGAACGAAAATATGGTCCGTGGCCTCTTAAATACTACACCATTTCCTCAAAATCACGTGGCACTGGTCTTGCGAAACCCTCTTATAGTGCTGAGGCAACAGGGATGTTGGAGGGGAGAGACTGACTACCCATGAAAGATTACTACTCCCATATCAGCTCTAGATTATTAAATATGGTTTTCTGTGGGTGAGCAGATGGCAACTACTGGATGGCATACATTCTGTATCAGAAACTAGAGCTGATGTGGTCTATCCAATGCAATTTTCTGAATCGGCATCCCAAATGACCAAACAACATAAAGTTGACCAAAAACTAATTTGTAACCCTTTTGGTAGTAATGTTGGAGAGTGGTCCCTGATCAAAAAAGGGTTGAGAGCCACTGGATTAGATAAACAGATCACCTCAATTCAACACTTACATGTAACAAAAATACCCTAACCCTAACCACAACAGTACTATACAACTCCAATGCAAAATATGAACAATGTGCAGTGCACAGGGACACAAGCAGATGTGTTTCACAAACCACTATACATAATCTCTAAGGGTCACAGAGTAAAATGTGTATTGTCATAGGGACTCATAGGCCAGATGCCTGCCTATGCCTAATTAAAGGTTTATTGGGATGGTTCAGTGAAGTCCTGGCTAATGTATGTGACCTGTTCCCCTGGCCACCCCAGAGGCTCTACAACCTGTGGCAATGGGGGCTACAACTGCTGCTGGGCAGGCAATGTGCCAATTTGAACTCAACATCGCTTTCCTCCATGTCAACATCGCTTTCCTCCATGGATCATAGTAAGCCTCCATTGCATGGTTCCCCCTATCCACACTTCAAGCAGAATGCAACAAGAATAAGCAAACAGATGAGCACAAAGCTGGAACACATGATACACAAAGACACAGGCCCATCCACTGCTGCCACCCAAACAAATGGCCAGAGATAGGCCCTGAGAGGACATAAACACCTATGTACAGAATGCCACATCAGATAAAACTATTCAAAATTTTCACAGGGCTGTTATTTTTCCTGATGGTTGGAGACCTTCTTTGTCAACCTAGGGACACATTTATTAACATTCTTTACATCACTCATCCAGTTCTAAGTCTATTCGGGCTAAGAGACATTTCACTATCCCAAGCCTAGCATGGCTGCTATCCTATTCATTATGTTCAGTGCAAGCCTAAAATCC